TTTCTACAGTGATCTACAGTAACCTTCACAAACACCGTTCCATCAAAATTCGAAAAAAAAAACCAGAAAAATCGAAAAATGATTCTTGAAAATTGCCGAAAACCTAAAAATGTCCGAAAATTTAACACAGAAGTAGAAAAAAAAACTCAATTTTTCTGTCGAATCATCGCTGAGATTTTTTCGCATTTCAAGCGATTTTTCGAGGTTTTGCGTTGTTTTTTTTTGAATTCTTTATTGCTCAATAAACGAAGTTTGATGTATTAAAAATAATACGAATTCTGGTCGGAGCCTAACTTCAAGGCTGTAACAGTTGTTAAATTTTCTAAATATGAGAAAGTTGACTTCCTACATCAACTGATTAGAAGTTTGAAAAATCGGAATTCATTAAATTACTCCATCGCGAAATGTTTGTACCTCTACAACCCACTCACTCATCAAGTTCGTTTCTTATCTCTGCTCATTGTGCACCAATTGTTCCGAGAGCCCCCAGGTGACCTCTCGGCTCTTTGTAAACCACCAGCTGATTTGCATTCTCTTCCCCGAAAACGTGTTCAACGCTTCTTCCGCCAGACCGGAATTCAATTGGCATATTTGCTTCTCAAATTTTTTGACATTTCGTTTTTTTTTCTTCCGTCTCCTCCCATCATTTTGATTCATCTCCCTCTTTTCTTTCGTTTCGCGCATGAACTGATCCGGAGAAGTCTTCCTCTGTTTGTTTTGAGAAACTCATCATTTATCACCTTCACTTCTCTGTGTTTCTTCACTTTGTTCTCTATTTCAAGGTCCCGATGGGCTTCCCACTTGGATAATATTGCGCATTGACAAGAAGAGACACGGGTGACCAACACTTCTTACAAGACAATATCTCTTTCAAAATTATGAATATACTTGAAGCGTCCAAAACAAAAGTGGAACTAATAATTAGTTCTGCTCCTCCCTTTTCCTTCTCTTTCCCTGTTCTTTTTTTTTTAAACTAAAACCTATTGTTTGCAGCTAGATGCTCTACTGAACATGCCTCGTTTGGCCCGGTTCTGGGATTCCTTGGAAAATGATAACTTATTCGATACAGTTCCTCAACCTCCAAAAGTTAGTTTATAAGTTCCAGTTCTTCAGTGAGATTACTGTAATTGTGTGATATTGTACATCAATTACCATAATTCCGTATTTGCTCTAATAAAAGCCAACGTGCACTTCGAGCTCAATTATCTCGGCTCCTATGAAAGATATCAAAAATTTGTCAATTGATAAATGTTTTTCATAATCTCACTTATATTTTATCAGTTGACAGATTTTTAATATCTCTTATAGGAACCGAGATAATTGAGCTCAAAGAGACCTGTAGGGTTTGCTTCTATGAGAGCAATTAAATTCATAATAGTGGCCAATTACATTCAAAATCCTTACATTAGAAAAAATGGTAATCTGGGAGCATGAAACATTGTTATCCGGCTGAATTCCAATGAAAAAAACTTTGAAGTCGGTTTTCTAAGGCGTTCCGGTTGTCCGCGAACAGTCCGGCAACGGCCCGTCGGTTTTCTTTCGGCTGCCAACTACCGTAAAACCTGTTATGACTTTCAACTTTGATCCAATGTATCTCAGTTTCTATGAAAGATAAAAAAGGTATCAACTGATAAATTATTTATCATAATTTCACAAACATTTCATCAGTTGACACATTTTTGATATCTCGTTTAGGAGCACCTATAACTAGGCACCACAACAAAATTTTCAAAATAGACTTTTCCCAGTTTTTATTGTTGGATTGTATTCTCCTACTTTATAGAAGTCCATTCCCAAAATTTCAGGGAAAAATCTTCATTCAATCCCGAGTTACAGCCCCTTTTATACCAGACCTCAATGTACTGAATTTCTCCTCATTTTTTTGCGGTGCGCAGAAAAGTGGGCGGGGCTTAGCTGCGGCGCGGTTTCATTGTGGCGCTATTCCGAGCGCTGTTTTTTCATCAAAATCGCATCATGGTTTGTCGGAAAAGCAGTTTTTAGGGTAAAAAAACGAAAAGAATAAGTTTATAACATTGAAAAAAGGAAAAAACCATTGAAAAAAGGAAAAAAAAACAAAAAACCCCATGGGAGATGCGAACTTCGGTCTTCAGATCGGTGCGCGCGCCCACTAACCAGTCTGCCACCGCTGCACTTCCCTTGGAATCAATAGATGAGAGTGAGGAAAGGACGACTTTTCATTGCCTGCCGTCTCCTTCCGGTGTTGCCTCTTTCCTATTTTTTACAAGTTGTTCCATGATAGATAAGGAAACAGACGTATAACACATTAAGGGCGTCGATAGAATTTTTTAATTATAATTGCTCTTAGTGGCAAATTTTGCGTAGAATCTTATGGTGAAAAGAAAATCGGTGGCGCTCACCTGTGTCACCTTCAAAACTTCCAAAAACTGAAAATTTTGAAAGTTTGGAATTTTCGGATGAGTATCAAAACTACTTAGAGGTATCCAATCTTTCTGAAAATTGGCAGAAGTATACACAAGACTTAGTTTTACCATAATATGCAAAAAAAAATTGGGGTCATCGCTGAAATTTTTTATTTATTTTAGCTGGAATTTTGGCTGAAAATTGTGAAACAAGGGCGTCGTTAGAATTTTGATTTTATTTCAAAATCCAATCCCCCAGTTCAAAAACTATCAGAATCCATTAAAAAATCTAATGGCGCGAACTTCCATCCAACACTTTTAGTCCACTTTGTCAGTCCCACTTCTATTTTTCGAAGTTTTCGAATCAAAATAATAAAGTTATCGAAGAACTGATAATTTCATTGGATTCAGCGTAGTCGATTACATAGGGACAAGTTCTCACCAAAAAAATAATGGGTTTCTAACGCCCGGTACAAGCCTTCAAAGATGGATTTCTGAAAAGGGGAGAAAAATTTGGTCGCCCCGCCCCCTTTCATTGCGGTGCCTACCTATAACTATACTTAAAGCTCAATTATTTCGTTTCCTTCAAAAAGTATCAAAACATTTTTAACTGATAAATTTTTATCATAATATCACCAATATTTCATTAGTTGACAGACTTTAAATATCTCTCAGAGAAACCAAGTTAATTGAGCTCAAACCTGATTGTTTGTGGGGGGGGGGGGGGTTGGTTTACGGTAACAGTTATTCGCCAATTTTCTTGAACTGTTATTTAGCAATTTTTTGGCAGTGTCCCACTACGTGTGATCATGAAATCTACGAGATCTAGGTGAAATCCAAAAATTCTAGTTAATCATTTGAGATCACAAAAATTTTAAAAACTTTCAGCCTACAGTAACCCGATTCCAACAGCAATGGCTGACAAGTCTTGCAAACGCTCGAGACGACGAGTTACAAACAATTTTATATGCAAAACCACTTCTTCCAACACCTGAATCAATTGTACAATTGCCCGATGAGGAATTTTATGGAGCCAAGAAAATCTCGGTCGGCTACAGGTGAGAGAGAGCTTGTGTTATTTGTTGTTCATTTGCCCCGAGGAGTCAGGTTACCGTACAGGGTGCGGTTATTCACTTCGTAATAGTGTACAGTTTTAGTTTTCGTTATTTTCCACATTTTTCTCAATTTTCTAGTTCCAAAGAGATCTTCGTTGGATTGGAACAGGTGGTACCTCATCCCGCCATCCTCACATAATTAATGGGTTCTCCGAGTTGTTGAGCATGTCTCTTTTCCAACTCTCTACCTCTTTATTTTGTTACTTTCTATCAATATTCTTCGTTTGAATTGTTTTTTTGTTTTTTTTTCAAGACTAATTGTCTTATTTTGATTAGCCTCTTTCTCTTTCATTTGAGCTTTCATCTCGGCCACAAATCAAATCAAAAACGCAAACAGTAGGACTATTGCTAGGTGCGAAAATTATATTTACCGCGCGGAAAGGGGCATAAAGAGATAGTTTGTAATTTGATCCAACTTGGAGAGTAGTATCCTATTAATTCATAGAGAAAAGTATAATAATGATTCTTCGGTAATCAAAAGGGTTCTTAAACTTTACGATTATGTTTTTTTTTCTCTTTTAGTAAATCAATGCTATCCACTTCACTGGGAAACCTTTCGGCTCCTCCAAAACCTCAAAGGCGGATTGCGAGACTTCGGAGTGTAGCTAATGATTGTGCAGGTAGGGAGGCAAATTCCTAAAACATGAAAATTTTTTTTGATTCAGCAAGTCTTCCTCAGTTGCTGGAACACAATTCGATTTCAGAAACAATGAATAATAACTTTGGAGACAAACGAGATGCAAGTAGTACGACGTTGTGTTCATCTGTTCATGCAGGTAAGGGTTTGGATCATTTTAGTTTTCTGAACCAATGAAGAATACTTTGAATAGTATAAATCTATTCTTCCAGGTTGAAGTTTTATAAAAGTTAATGAATACTCAGAAAATCTAAAAATAATAAAAGCCGTCCAAAAGATGACCTAATTTTTTCTGGAATTTGTTTTCGTCTAGAAAAGTTCATATTTTCACTATTTTTCAAGAAATTTTTTCATAAATTTTCGAGGACGAAATGTTGTTGATTGAACTGAAAACTTTGAATTCAAAAGTTTGCTGATAGTGAGCTGCTGATCATTTTGTACACACCTTATTTCCTCTAATACAAGCTAACCAAACCGTCAAGTTTGAGCTCAATTATCTCGATTCCTGTGAAAGATATCAAAAACTTACCTACTGATAAAATATTGGTGATACATTGATTAATATTTTGTCAGTTCACTAATTTTTGATAGCGTTCACAGAAATCAAGATAATTGACTTCAAAATCTAGGGTATGGCTGAGCTTCTATTAGAAAATGCAGTTTGAAATGTTTTGAAATGTATTTTTTGTTGTTTTGGTTTATGCAGCAGTCTCAAGTGGAACATTCAAAAATCTCATCAAAGTTTGTTTTGAACACAAAGAGCTGAAAACTGAGATCAATTCTAATCCAACAAGATAATAAAAGTTTATTCAATTACTATTCAATGTCATTACCACCATGGATTCCCAAAAGTGAGCATCTGAATACTTTAAAACGAAAACCATACCAACATAAAAAATGTAATAGAAAGGCTCCTAACTTTTAATTTTGATCCAATTTATTTCTGTTCATGTCAAATATAAAAAAAAGTTTTCAACTGATAAATTATTTATCATAATATCAAAAGTGTTTTGTTAGTTAGCACATTTTTGATGTCTTGCATAGGAATTGGGAAAAAACTTGACTGAATTGGGGCCCGTCTATTACATGTTCACCCTAAGATTCCTTTCGGTTTGAGAAAAGTGAATTGTAGCGAAAAAAGTTGGCTCCCACCATCAGCTCAAACTTTTTCTCTTCATATGAGAAATAGAAACGTCTCTAAAAGTTTTTAGAACCTCCATTCTTCGGTCTTTCCCAGCATATTCTTGTTTTTAGAGTCCTGCCCAACTGACACTGAAGATGCAATAATTCGAAATGTGAGTTCGCTTTTTTTTAAATGTTTCTTCTTTTTTTTTCTCCTCTCGTCACCCCACTAAATCTTATCCTAATTGCCTCACTTTCTGATTGGCAACACATGTGTCTAAGAATTCAGATAAAGTTGCCCGGCTTCCGAGGAAATATCTCAAGAGCTCTCAGTCAAAAGAGCAATTCTCCATCTGTCTGTCGAACGCCAACTCCTCGAACAGCTCCTCCATCTTATGAACAGTTTCAAGTTTTGAGACGGAGCTCAATGAAATGTAGGTGGTTTCATTTTCTTCAATAAAATAAAGTTTGTTTTAATTCAGCAAGTTCACAATCTCTACACCATAAAAACAGTATCCTCTCTCCTCCTCCTCCACCAAATCCATCTTCATCCAGATCTAACACAGTTACTGTTAATGGAGTTCATGTAAAACAAGCGATGAACATGTTATTCGGCAGTTAGATAGCCATTATCTAATTTTTTATTTTTCAGAATAGATACAAGTACTGACAGTGCAAATACAATTCTTCGATCTCCATACAGTACTCGCTCGGATAGCATCACAAGTGTGGACTCTGGTCAATGTTCAGGGGATCAGGTGGAAAGAAGATCGTTGTGTTCTGTGAGGCAAGAAAGTAAAGAGGAAGATGATTCGGGAATGCCGAGTTACGCCAGAATGGCTAGTAGGTGAAATTCGCGACTTCTGGAAATTACATTTGTTTGTTCAGGTACAATGGATCATGTTCTCCGAACATCTTCAGCGTTGTATACCCTCTTGTCGTCTCCTCTTGATCCGAGTATCTGCAGAGATTTGTTGGCAAAGGTGTAAATGGAAAATTTGATACAACTATATTTTTTACTTTTGTAGTCATCAGTATTCCTTCAACTATTGGAATCATCTCCCTGCACGAACTATCTTCCAAAAACGGAAATAGCAAGATTGAAAATGAATGTTCAAGAACTACAAAAGTAAGTTTCACTGTTGATTTCTTTTAACATGCCGGTAGTGGGGGTACTGCCGAAAAAAAGGACCGCCGGTCCGTCTCTTTGCGCGTTGAGCCACTTTTCACCAACCGAGCCTTACTATTTGATTTCAATTTTATAAGAAGAAATGCTTCTTTGAATTCCCATATACCTTTATGACTTTTATGCTGTAATAATTTTTTAAAGTAATTCTTACCAAATTTCTTATTTTGCAGAAATTTGGTCCGCCACCCAGCGGTCATCGGACAGTCAGCGCCTCTTTGACTGACATTAAGCAGTCGTTCAACAACTTATTTTTGATTCGGCTCAATATGAAAAAAATTAGCTTTTCTCATCATTCTAATATAATCTAGTGGGCGAATGAAATCTTGATTTCTAGCTGACCTTTAATCTAAACTTTCAAGTCGATTTTCCAAGGGGTTCCAATGATCCGTCGACAGTCCGTCAATGGCCCGTCGGTCGTTCTTCAGCTTTTATTTAGCAGTTCTCCAACAGTACCCCTCCACTTGTAATTTATTTTATTCCATCTGTTTTAAACTGAATAATTCAGAAATCGAGATAAAGGAATAATGGACATGAACAACATGACAAACTTTTTTGCGATTCTCCTTCGTAAATCTATCGAATCTGTTCTACTGGTTTTTGTAAGGGTGAGTCTTAAATTCTTTGCTCAAGTTTGTTCACCCCCGAGCTTATCTAAAATTTCAGATTATTGGAAAATATTTATCGGAAACCAATGGAAAAGATCGATTGACCCCAATTTGCCTCGAACATCTCATTCATATTTGTCTATTTGGGGATGAACTTTGTCTAGAAGCTATTCAAAAGAACTGCATTTCTTCTGTCATTAAAATTATGAAGAACGATCAACCTCAAGAAAACACTCTTCGATTTCTGTTGAGAACTTTAGCGATATTATGTGGAGTTTCGAAAGGTGCACTTGCTTTGCTTACGGTAAGAAGATTATAGATAACTAGCAAAACTAAATATTTGCAGCAAGGAGGACTGGATATTGTGGTGGATCGCCTTCTGTCCATCTCATCTTCAATTTGCTCAGTAGAAGCGGCTGGGATATTGACTCAACTTACGAATCCACAATCTGCTTTTATTCGTTTGAACAACGTCGATCCTATCATCTCTAGACTTTTGGGTTTGTTTCGAATCTTTCATTTTTTTTCATCATTAATTTCATTGAGCCTTTTTTAAAGATTTGATTGATCAATGCAAGTCTGGAGACTCCTTGTTGTTGGCCACGGCAGCTTTGAACAATGTAACCCTTCAGCATCCGAATGGTGTTGATATCATGTACAGGTTTGTCACATGGTTAGTCCCATCATTTAAAGTTTTTTTTCTTGAAGAAACAATGCAATTTGCCGTCTCATTTCTGCTTATAACCGAGAAAATTGTGCCACAATTTTTGTCCAAGAGCAAATTGTCACAGCCTTCTCCCGTCTTGCCGCACGCCATCTGGATTACCAAATGGTTGAGGAGAACTCAATTCCAGTTCTCTTGGAATTCCTCTCACTCACACATCCAATGCATGGGGACTACTGTAGAAGAATAAGATACAAAGCTGCAGTTTGCATTGGGACGTTAGCCAATAGCGATGTTGGTCTCCAAGCTTTGTATGATAATAATGGTTTGTTTTCTTTTGAAGAACATTCGAGTTTCTAAAATTGCAATTTTCAGCCTACGCGATTCTCAGCAATGTGTTATATGATGACAACAATACATCCAACCCGTTTAATATGATTTGTAATAGTATTCGTACCAAATTGGAAACAAAGTTCCAATCAGAAAGTGCTGTTTAAACTCAATTTACTGTATTTACTATTCCTTTGTCAAACAAACCAAAACTTTTCTGTGATGAACATTTTATTGAACGTTATTTTAAGAGATTTTGTACATTTATTCAAGCATGACAGTTTCTTGGATCTCCACCAGACAAGGCGTACTCCTTGACCTTGTCGACGAATGATTGAGACAATCCGTACTCCTTTTGAAGACGTTCGAGATCCTCAAACTTCAAGAATCCGGCGCAGTAGGCGTTGAGTTTGGTGGCCAATTCTCCTTCGGCGACTTGAGTATCAAGAAGACCCAGTTCATCGAAAAGTGCTTTCTTCTGACGGAACCAGTACTTTTGATGATAATCTTCTGCTTGATAGAATTTGTCGAGTGGTTCGACATAAGTTTCGATGTCTCCATGTGCCTCCTTGTTCTGTTGCACTGTTTCAGTAGCGAACTTCTTCTGCTGATCATTCACATAAAGGATGGCGGATTGGTATTGCTGAAAATGAACTTTTCAAAATAGACTTTAAAATTAGAAAAGAAAATTACCTTCTTTCGGTGCTCGGCTGGGTTGTGATGTTTCCAGAAGAAAGCAAGCAGTTTCGAGTAGTCGATAACTTTTGGATCATAGGTGATCTCAGTGATTTCGGTGTGATCCTTGATGTTCTTATACGTTGGATTTGGTTGTTTTCCTCCAGCATATCCAACTCTTGTGACCACAACTCCTTTCAATTTGGCCCATGCCGATTCTCCCCAAAAGCATTGAAGTCCGAAATATGCACGCTCCAAATACGCCATTATTCTGAAATAAAAAATAAATTTTGAACAGAAGAAAACAAATCCAATAAAACTGTGAGAATCAGTCGATTCCACTGGTTTATATACAAGAAGGAGAATGTGATACATGTACGTTTTGCGATTACATCAGAAAGAGGTCAGAGACGCAGATGAAGAATCGATGTGGAGGGATGGAGGAAAAGGGTAAAGAAGGACAGAGACATAGAATTATGGAGGGAAAGGGCTCTTTGTCATCAAAAACGGTGCGACGAAAAGCAGATGGTCAGTTTAAAATGATGACATAGATCGGTTTTCGGTCAGAAAATGTGGTTGGTGATAAGAGGACAATTTTTGATTCAATGGTCAAAAAAATCGATTCGTGGGTGCTTTCATTATTACAACTGGAATTGTATTTATAAACGGGCGTCTATCTAAATGCTAGATCAACATATTCATAATTTCGATAACGAAAATTCCAGTTTATCAAGGTTGAAGATTTTCTCTCGCTTACTTTTAGCTTTCAATATATTTTTCATAGTATGCAAAAACGAAGCTTTGGAAGAGAAAATCTGGTGTCCTCGACCACGGCCGAACTACCGTATTTAGTTATCAAATACTTTTTTTTTCATATTTTTCTTGCTTTTCGTCCGTTTTCCAAAAAAATGTTTTACTAAAAACTACTTGAATACTTGGAAACGGGCCAAAAACAGATCCCTGGCGGGTCAAAAATGGGCTATGGCGGACCCTGTCCTAGCTTCTTTTAGGGTCAATATTTTAGGATCAACTAAATTAGATATGATAAAACTCAACGAGAGCTACAAAATGGTACTATTCAAAAAACTATGTCTTGTCTATGGGCTTCAAATAGTATCATTTTGTAAGGCGTGTCAAGTTCTATGATATTCGACGACTTACAAATTGGTCAGAAAATATTGATTCTAAAAGACACAAAAAAAAGTTCAAAAAGCAATAGTAATTGAGAAAAAAGGACCGAAAGTTTTAGGTTACGGTGATTTTCGTTACGAGAGCCGTTGGCCACGCCCACAAAACTTCCCTCTTTCATAGCTCCGACTTTCCAAATCTTGTGACTTGAGCTGCGTTGCCTGGCGACAAAAAGCGAAAAAAAGCTATCCCCATGGCAATGTCAGAGAAACAGAAACCAATTTTATTTATGTCCGCGGGGTTCGGAATACGACGGAGAAAAAAAAACAAAATCACAAATTCTCAGAATTGGAAAAGTATTAAAAAGTTTATTTGTTACCGTAGAAATAAAGTTTTCCGAATTGAGATACATACAAAATTATATTATAATTAGAATGTATTAAGCGATCGCTAATCTGAAGAACCAGCTGCATCCTCTGAAATGAGCGTTTTGAAGGCTCAAGGAATTCCAAGCTCCTTGATGGTCTCGACAGTAGAAAGGAACTCGATCCATGAGCATTGTTCCAGCGATCGCTCTAGTTTTGGCAATCACTTCAAAAGGGCATCCTATGGTACATTAAAATACAGGACTGAGAATTAGTTCTGTGATTTTGTTCATTGTATTCAGATACTGAAAATAACATTAGATTAGAAATTTTAAAATTTCCACTCACCAATTTATAAATAACTTCAACTTCTGGATCTCGCACTCCTCTTTCTTTGTACTTCAAATAATAGTTGAAGAGCATCTGATTCACAGTATGACGGCAGACGAATGTGATAAATGTTCCAAGTATAACATTCCGTAGCTCTGTCGGAAGACCTCTGAACTTCGACCAATTTTTTTTACCTGTAATAGAAGGGCTCTTACAGTGTCAGCTTTGATGTCAATTGTCTCAATTCCCGTGAAATATATCAGAAATGTGTCAACAGGTAAATTGTTTAATATAATATCATACATTCCAGACCGCGCTATCGGTTATTGATGAAAAGAAACGAGTGCAGTTCACTGAGTCAAGACCAGTGAGGAGAGTAAGGAACCCTCTGGTCGTGCAGAGTTGTTTCACTGAAATTGAATCAAATGCAACCGATCATACTTGCGAACCGTGCCTTTGCCGGGCTATCGTAGTTAGCAAAATATTTTTTACTTTCATATTTTCTCTCGATGTTCATCCGTTCTCCAGCAATTTTCCACTAAAAACTGCTTGAATACTTGAAAACGGGTTAAAAATGGGTCTCTGGTAGGCAAAAACAGGCTATGGCGGACCCTGCCCTAGTTTCTTTTAGAAGCAATATTTTGAGACAAACAAAATTAGATAGGATAAAACTCAACGAGAGCTACAAAATGGTACTATTCAAAAAACTATATCTTGTCTATGGGCAAAGTTACAAGTCATAAAGTGGCCGTTATTTTGTCTATAACTTTGCTCATAGACAAGTAGTACTCGTTGAGTTAAATCATATCTGATTTAGTTGGTCTCAAAATGTTGATTCTAAAAGAAACGATGGCAGGACCCGCGAAGGACCGGCGAAGGCCCGGCCACAAGTATGGAGTGCCTTTTCCCATTTTTCCTACAGTAGCTGAAGAGGTTTGGGAAGAACAATGTAGGTGGTCCGAAGAAATAATATTTCTCGCCATCAGTCATTTCAAATGGCTCAAACCCAAACTGCATGAGTGCCCTGGCTACAGTAATCGGATGTGACGCTGCCACTGCGGCAAATGCCTGAAATTAACAAAGGAAATCGGCGGTGTGAATGCTGAATACATAAATACCAAGGTTTCCTCCAATCTGTCATTCTCGAAATCCTCTCGTTGCCTTATTGCTCTTTTTATTTCTTGAATGGAACGTTGGCGTAAATGCTCAACATTAGCTCTTTCCGCATCAATGTCATCGAGGACAGGTCCCATTGGTACACCAGGTCTTCCGTTCCGAGGAGATACATATTGAGTTTGTGCGTTTATAAGACCAACACACATCAACCCAGTAGAAAACGAATTCCTGGGTCGCTCAATTTTGTAAAATTTGAATCGAAAAAGATCCAGAAGAAACAAATAACTTCCAGATTAAGCTAGAATTGGGACTTCAGTTAATAAATAGAATAATCTGAAAAAAGAATGTCGAGAACATCAGGAAGATTAAAATCGGCAAAATTAAAGTGAAAGAAATTGAGAAAGGATACGAAAATCGGACAGAATGCTTCGTTTTTTGAAGATGTGATGACTTTTCCGCAGTCTCGTTGTCTGCCGTCTCCATTCCGTGTAACCATGCATGGGGTGGATGACTGCTCAGTGTGAAGGAGAGATGACGATTAACGACGCACTTTCGCCTCTCGAGGTTTGAATTTTATGAGCTCTTTAGATGATTAGGTCAAATTTAAATTCGATTCGAATAATGAATAATTTATGTCGAAGCTAAAGCTAATAAATTACGAAAAAAACGCGGTGAATGAGGAGGGCTATGAGGATTACATGAACATGTTCGTTCTATGAGATTTGATTCTAAAACAACCGAGACTGGTTAAGAGAAAAAATAAGATGCATGAAAATACATTAAATCAAAATTGAGATTGTTTGGTTCAGGCTTCTTATGCGAAGTATGAATTGCTGGCGTACAATTGCTGGTCTGGTCCAACTGTGACAGCTCCAACTTGTTCACGGAGGAACAAACGACTTCCACGCTTCAGTCCGGTTGGACGAAGGTAGTCCCATGCTCCATGCCAGTTGTTGAAAGATGGAGAGTATGGCAGGAATGATACAGCGAGTCCTGAAAACAAGAAAGGGTGAAACTCCTATTTTCGTGGAAACCAACCAGATCCGGCAACAGCCATAACGCTGGAAACCACACTGTATGGATAGCCGAAAGAGTTGACGACGAATGGAACTGCAGTATGAATGAACTTGTGCACATCCTTGGCAGCCTTGGCTTTAGACTCGTCTTTTTGCTTGGTGTCTCCGACTTCGGTTCGAAGGATTGCTCTTTGGATTCCGTGAGTCACAAGATGAACTCCCCAGATGACGAGTAGCTCTCCGAGAATTTGTGGAGCCAGTCCACTGAAAAGTCCTCCTGGGCCCTCTTGCTTTCCAGATAATTCCCAATGCCTGAGCACAAGTGGCGTACTTGGTCTCGTTGCCAATGATTTGAGCAACTTGACGAATGAAGCAGACTGAAAGACTTTCGTTATGGAAGGCTCACGAGTATTGAGTGTCAGCTAACCTGTAAATGGTCTGGCAACAGTCACCGCGACAACACGAACTACCGAGTCGCGGAAGCCGTTGCGCAAAACTCTACGGAACGACTCAGCATCGGTGAGCTCATCTTCCTCCTTGTCTTGATTAACAAGTGGTCCTCCAATATTCGGGTAGTGCTCGTCGATGTACTGAAATTCCGATTGTAAATTACAAAACTTAATACCAGACAAGAATTACCTGTTGAGTACGATGGGAGGCGATTCCCTGAACGGCCAATGAAACGATGGCTGAATCGAGTCCGGTCCACAATGTGGTGTATCCACGAGTGTCAGCCAATTGCTTCACTGCAAATTAGAAACTCTATGTGCTGCGTTTAATTGGAACATACTGTAGCTAAAAGCATTTGGGAGGAAATACGCATTTCTTCCAGCGCAAATGAGGGTCTTTCCAGTCGACAGCGGGAAGGGTTCGTGGCCAAGTTGAATGAGGGTTCGGGTGACTGTCAATGGCAATGACAGCGAACTCAAAGCAAGCTTAGCGATGAGATTCTTAGCGAATTTCTCCTGAAACATTAGAAGTTCAATTAAGCAAACGTTTCAACAAAACTAACATCCTCTGGAGCGAGTCCAAGAAAAGCGTCCTGTTGGTTTCCTTCAGCCATATTTATCTGAAATTAGTTTCTTGAAACATCTTGAGTCATTTTTAATCGAATAAATATCAAATAGTTGATAAAACTTCAATTATCTCGCAATTGCGCTGAAAAAAGCATCTGACAAGAGCGAACAAACAAAAGTTGACGCAACCCACAAACAACTGCGGCAGGGAAAACTGGGCGGGGCCAGAGACATGCAATCGCCGCACACTTTCGAAGTCACACATTTTTTGCTCAAAAATTGTTTTTCTCACAAAATTTTGCTTGATTTCGTTGATCAAGCATTTTAAATATCACTTTCAATTTGTAAAAAATTAATGTAATTGTTGCAGAAATGTCGTCTGGTGGAGGAAATCAAAAGTCCGACGGACAAGTTGAAGAAGACGCCGCCGAGTGCAAGTTTCCAAAAGGTTAGCTTTTTATTTGTTGGAGAAGTTATCAGGAAGTTCTATCAAATAGGTTTCGACTTTAAAATATTTAATCTATACGTTCTCATCATTCTTTAAAAAATAATACTGGATGTGTTGCAGAATTCGAGCTGAACACCTGCGATGCTCTACTGACTGCTGAAGTCTACTTGCTCTTGGAACATCGACGACAATCGAACGAGACAAAAGATGAAATTGAGGAAATGAGCGAGGTACGACCATAATTGAACTATTTACAAAAATAGGTTGTCCAGGTGTTCATCAAAACTCTCAACTATGCTCGTCGCATGTCCCGATTCAAAAATCGTGAAACAATTCGTGCAGTCCGTGCAATCTTCTCCGAGAAACATCTTCACAAGTTCGAAGTTGCTCAAATCGCAAATCTCTGCCCAGAAAATGCCGAAGAGGCAAAGGCACTCGTTCCATCACTGGAAAATAAAATCGAAGAGTCAGAGCTCGAAGAAGTGCTCAAGGACCTTCAGTCAAAGAGAACGTTCCAGTGAATTCAATTTTCTGAACATCAAATCAATTCATTAATTGTATCTTATGATTATATCTACCACTGTTTTGACAGAGGATCTCGCACTCTCTCACCATTCTTCATGTTCTGAATAAGAATTGATAAATAAATTCCTCCTATTTATATTTTTCAATGAGCTCTTCTCATAATTCGTTTCGTCGACTAATATTTTCAGGTTTCATTAAAACGTTCGCATAAAAAGTTTTCAGATGGCAAATGGTTTGAAACATGCACCTGCCCATTTGCTGTCACAAGTAGTGAATATGGTTTACACTATACAAGATTTATTCATTAATCAAAAGATAATAATTGTAGATTCAAAATGATAATCCATTTGTGAAGCAGCTATGTCAAGAGATACATATGTTTAGTTTGAATCAAAAACAGGTGATTAAAAAAACATTGAGAAATACTAATATTTATTATAATTCTTTCAGTCAGAAAATATGATGAAAGCCCGGAACGAGTACATTAGACTGATTCGAGATTATCTGAACTCAGCAACGATCGCAAATCAATTGGAAGAAGGAGTTCGGATTGATCGTGTCGCAGTTTTCGGTAGTTTCATCACACAATGCGTTTCGAATAATAGTGATTTGGATCTATGCATTTGTTTGAATTTGGAATTTGGAGGAAAATCACGAATTTCGAGGGAGGAAAATTTGATATTCATTCAGAAAAGAACATTCATCTTTTTTTTCCAGAATGCCGGTCACCGTCCTCCAATCCGTTTATCGTGATTTACAGCACAATCGGAATTTGAAACAGTTCTTTGGTGATAATAGAATCACACATTTGTCGTTTGTATCGAGTGCCAAAGTACCTATCATCAAGTTCAAGATGAATGGCATTGCAATTGATCTTAGCGCAATATTCTGTACCAGCCCACCTAGTTCGTGTGTGGCTGCCAAATTCATCAATGCATACTGCCAGTTAGTTTTACCACTAATTATTTGGGAATCAGATTTTTTTTCAGGCTCGATGATCGGTTCGTGATTCTTGTAACGTTTATAAAGACATGGCTCAGATCAGAGGGAGATCCGAATGATCATCTCCGTGAATTTCCCAACTCGTACGCACTTTGTATGAAATTGTTCAAACATTTTTATGATTTAGGTATGCATTGACCATTCTACTGATTCATGCTCTGCAATGGTATGGTATCGTACCCAATTTGTATGAAAGTCACAACGAAATGTTCAACCCACAGAAAGTCAAATCATGGGACGATGTAGATGTTGGTCATGAATTTACGCATCCTCTAGATGAAAACAGTGAGTTTAAAGCTTAAATATCTGTCAATTAATTTTGTTCAGCCGTTGCTATGCATCGAAGAAAGGAAACGAGCAAGTTAACAGTCGTTCAACTTCTGTACCTTTTTGCCTGTCATTATTCAGAAGGAACCTTGTTGGCAAATCACACCTTCAACATGAAGAATGGTTCAATTGAGCCACGCAGAGGAAGGTTTGTTTTTGTAGAACTATTCTTATACAGACGATATGGGGTTTTTTTAGAGAAGCTCAGGTCTCCATCGTCGACATTTATGATACCAAAAATCCAGCAAGAAGCACTCGAAGTCAATTTTATGTTATGAACGCACTTTCGTAAGATCTCTTTTGTCTTCTTTTTTTACACAGAAATTATATTCAGACTCATGAGAATGATTCTCTTGGCACCTGCACCCAATATGCTTCATTATATCATGCAAATCCCATTCCGGCAGTTTATGCCTCCGGTTTTGAACCACATGCAAAACTTTCATCAGTAAGTCTCCTACGTAGACGATAACACTTCCAGTTAGAAGCTTTCAGAACAAACCAGATGAACCATGTAAACTACTACCATATGTATCATCCAAACTTCCAGCACTTTTCCGCAATGCCATATGCAAACAATCAGAATTTCCGATCCAATAGTGCTTCCAATCCGCGTATCCCACCGCGACCCAATCACCAAGAAACCGAAAAGCAGTATATCAAGAGATAGTGAAAATCGTTCAAAATGTGTATCTTGTAAATTATGATTACCTTTCGCATGACTAAAGAATCCGGAAAAACTTCTCAGCCCGATTGAGCAATTTTAGGATCAAATCCACCACCTCACTGGTTTCAAATTGTGTTACCCTGTTTCGATCAGCCCACTTTACAGATTGTATTTATTACTAGATAATAAACAATGTTCATAAATTCTACTTTCAGAGGAAAGCCAATTTTTTAGCACAACACACACCCCAACAAGGTTTTTTGGAAGTAAACATTGAAGCTAGAAAATCATCCTCCTTCGGTTGTCATCAGCTTCATTTAACTTGAACCAACATGGTGTTATACCTGCTTGGGTTTTTAACAAATTTTCGAATTTCCTGAAATACGTTCTATTGTCGGAATAAAAAAAAATTGACACGTATTTTTCGAAACTTTCTACCCAATTTTCTCGAAAACAACACTGACAGAGCCCTTTTAGAAAACAGATTTAGAGTCAGGAAACTGTCAGCTATCCGATGATATAGGTCACGTATCGCCACACCCGAATTGGGGCCTTCCCTAGTAAATCAATACTGTAGCCTAACCGGAGGACGGTTGCCAACGAGAAGACATTACGCGAATTGTGGAGAATCAGAGAAAACGGAGGAGATGGTCCGCTCGGACTCCATGGTTCAATAAAGGTGACATGGCAAAAAGACTGCGTTGTATTCTGATGATTCGTACACAATATAGCCGAGAGGGCAAGGTGTTTTTTCTTCTTGTCGCTAGAACATTCTTTCTTTTTATGTCTGCACCCTTCTGCTTCTGTGAACTACCTCCATTGCTCATTTTCAACTTGTCCCTCGTTTTGAACGTTTTTTCTTCATTTTCTTTTTTTGTTGTTGTTAAAACCCTCCAAACAAGCCGGAAAATTAAATGTTTCTAAATTTTAAAACTTGCCGGAAAGCGGACGGAAAAATACCAGCATTTCTCATTCGACTACTGTATTACTCATTCCAAATTTTCACATTTCTTTTTCAAATTCTATCAACACTTGTCCAAACATTTTCTCAATTTGCTCTCTTAAAATATATGCTCGGTGAACTGATTTTATTTGAATTTTTTATTTGACTTCCAGCAATGACCACTGTCATCGGGAAGCGTTTGAACGAAATCGTCCAATTCGATTTCTCAAAACCGCTCGACCCAAATGTTCAAGCAAAACTATCCGCCCAGCTTTGCTCACAGTTCCTGGAGCCACTCACAGAAGAAATTAATAAAAAAGGGAAGGAACAAAACGAGAAAGAAGAAGAAGAAGAAGTGATGGAGGATGATTTAGATATCATCGGACAGATGGATGACTACTTAACATCTGAATCTATGATTAATTTTGTAGGTTTTTTTCTCTTTTAAAAATTTAATTGAGTCTAAAAATGCAGTTATTTAAAACTGTTTTTTCAGTTCGAAAAACGGAACCTTCGCTGCAACGCCGTTTTGCCTTTCATCAGCGCTCTTCCAGTACAAGACTGGGAGAAGAGAGATGTTTCTGTCGTTGCTTCCTTCGGGTTTCCTAAACAAGTTCCAAACAAATTGTTGGCTCGTCATCGGAGCAACAAGATTCTCAAGGTCCTCTTGACCAAAGTCAAGGGCATGTTTCCTAACCACGCTGTTACGGATGTAGAACACAACGAATTCGCAAAAGTTCCATATCTTTTGTGTACTGTAGATAATGTCACTGTGATTATCAAGATCTCTATGAAGCCATTTTGCTCGCCGCAATTTATGTCAAAAGATGTTATCGAGGCATACAAAAGGTAATTTGTTTTAGATTAGATCTCCTGTTAACTGATTTGTTTTCAGTTGTGACGACCGCTTCGTCATCCTTGCCAACTACTTCCATCAGTTCTTGAAAAGCAAAGCTGTGAACAAAAAAGATCAAAGGAAATCAAAGTCTATCATTCCAAAGCTCTGTACCATCAAGATGATGTTTATTCACTTGTTCAAACATTACGGACTGCTTCCAGCTAATAACAACAACTCGTTGGAAGGTAATCTTCAGTTTTAACAACAATTCTCAAATTCGAAACTTTTTCAGAGAAGATGTCCTCTCTAAAAATTCAAAATAATCAATCCATCAGCCTCGGAACTTTATTTTTCTTGTTTCATGATTACTATTTGGATGTGATTTCTCTGGAAACAGACTTTCTCGAAATTACAACTGGAAAATCTATCTGTAAAATGGACATTGGATTGACCAATCTCAATATTCTATCCATTAGTGACATCTTCGACGATCACATCCCAGGAGAGCGTGTCAATGACACCCTTATTTTCAAAAAAATTCTCAAGTAAGGAGGTTCTAAAATGTGATTCCGTGATAATCTGATTTCTTTTTCCAGAGCATCCTTCAACTGCATCAAGAAGTATCTCGTTCAACGTACCACCGATGTTCTCAATGATTTGAGAGTCATTCCATTTCGTCCGAGAAACGTTGTCTTGGATGATGTTAAGAAATAATCAATTGATTCCATTTTATTATCATTGTTTCACTCACATCGCATTGTTTCTAATTAGAATTCCCTCATAGTCTGTATTACTGAAATTATCTAATATACTCACTTTTGATAACAAATAAACATGAAAATTCAGTTTTTTTAAACATTTAGAAAAGGAGATCATGGAACAACGCTATGGAACTACTTTTAATTGAATTGAACAACTTAATTCCAGTCTGGTGACATACCGTAAAACCTGTAATAGAAGGGCCTCCATGCTGCCAATTTTGAGCTCAATTATCTCAAAACATATGCAAGATATATCAAAATTTTGTCGACTGATAAAATGCTTATCATGTTATGATAAACAATTTATCAATGGACAACTTTTTGATATCTTCGACAGGAACCGAGGTAAATTGGCTCAAAGTTGGAAGTTAGGGTTGCTTTATATTAGCGGGTTCTATTGAAATCGACTTTTGAATTTTTAGATAAATAATTACGATTTCTATTTCACAAAATTTTCCCATCGTAGTCAGTTCCGGAAATTCACATGATGCATGATAAAACATTATTTTCAGAAATCAAGTTTTTGTAACCTACATCTTTATGGGATTTTCTCACACAAAAATATGTATGCTGCATTGAGTTGTGTTTTGTTGGAAATGACAAAAACGAGCCCAAACATTTTTGAACAATTAAATTATGATATAACCGGACGAGAACTACAGAATGATACAATTTGGGACACTTTGCCTTGTCTGTGAACAAAGCTAAAGACCAAAAGGGCTCAAAAACCGGACCCGGATTGGCAGCTTTATGGCTTGTAACTTTGTCCATTGATTAGATACAGATTGTAAAATAATTTCAGTTTGTAGTGCTTGTGGAGTTCTACCATGCCGATTTGATTTGGTCAAAACATATTGACTATCAAAGAAACTATGGCAGTACCCGCCCGGGATCCGTTCTTGGCTCGTTTTCAAGTATGGGAATAAGTGACGTTGCAAGGGGCCCTATACTCTCAAGTTTGAGCTCAATTATCTTGGATAAGGAATACCAAAAATACATCAACTGAGGAAACACTTTTGATGTTATGATAAAGAATTTATCAGTTGACAACTTTTTCATATCCTTCAAAGGAATCGAGATAAACTGGCTCAAATTTAAAATTTGAAGACCCTTCTATAACAGGTTTTACGGTAATTGTTTGTTACCAACTTTTCACATCTAAGCATCCTAATAAATTCTGAATGACAATACGGCGGATCATGTGCCACCAAAAGTTAAAATGGGCTTTTATCTCATACTTAAAGGAGGCCGCACACGAAAGTCTACGGGGTTTTCTTGGGGCGAGATCATGCATTCTGACGGAAAGTCGTGCGATTGCGACCAATGCGCGCTACTTGACGAGCATTTATTTTTTTTAGTACACACTAAATTTCTTCAATGTTAGGCGATAATTCCAGACTTTTTGTCGATTTTCTGTCATTCCATGACGTCGCCGCATGAAAACATAAAAAAAAAGAAAACGGGTAGGTGGGAATCGAACCCGCGATGAGCGACCGGTATACAAGCGCGTTCACGTGAACGCTTTGCTGCGGCGGTGTGCCCCATATGCCCCGTATATGCCCCATACCGGCGTCCTTTCCCTGTACCCAATTCATCGGCGCGTCCTCCGTCGCCCATCCATTATGCGTATGCGCGCCCAGGACCTGTGACCTCTACACCAAACGGCGCCTGCCGTCGTAAAACGGTTATGAAACGAGGAGTGTGCCGCCGCTTGGAAGAACGTTCGCGTTCTAGCTTGTACGGCAACATGGAGTTATGGTTGGGTGACCATACATATTTTCTGACTGTACCGTGTCATATATCAAAAAACTAGAACTTTAAAATTTTTCATGTCTGGCCTCCTTTAAAGTGGGCTTTTATCTCATACGTTCCCATGCCATTAAAATGGAGTGAAGAATTTTAGAAGGAGTGAAATTCAATCTTCAGTTGGTCCAAAATCTGTGTCGAGGTCAACTTTGTGTATTTAGTTTGGACCCTTTCTCATTTCAATTTCCTTTTTGAAATCCTCATCTATTTTCAATGAAATCATCCCCTTATTTGGATCTTTTGATCTCATTTGCAATTTCGCAAACCAAAAAACTTTGACCCATATTCCTTATATTTCTTTCTCAAAATTCTTCTTCTTCCTGCTCTACTCTCCTTATTCTCCTTTTCCGATTCTATCCAAAAATTGTTGTTGTCGTGGGAATGATCACGTCTTCCTCTACCCTTCTGAGGTTTTGCAATCCCACCGAACTTTTCCATTTTTAACCAAAAAATCTCAATAATCAGAAATCGTATTTATTATAATCATGAAACCCGAATGCTTCTCCGGTTTCAAATGAGCGGGAAAATTGAGATTTCTGTTTATCGATTATGTCTCTTCTCTTGTTTGGTCTCATTGTTTTCAAGAGCATCATGCGAATCTCAATTGGTCCCGATGATCGATATTAAATTGTGAAGTGATCATTCCCATCCTTCAGAACCAGCGACCTCTTTTTTCGTTCGTTTGGGCATCTAGAAACAAATGTGTAGAATGATTGGCAGGTCAATTTATCTGAGATTTTCTTAGATTTTGACAGGTCTTATGAACAACGTTTCCAAGCACTTATTTCTTTTGAGTTCTACTGCTTTACTCGTTGTCAGTTAAAAAACTAAACCTTTTTAATTACTATCTGAAAGTCCACAAAAATGATATCTGCCATTTTATCTACTAGTTAGGTTGTGATCTGCTAGTTACCGTAAACACTCTTATAGAACGCCACACCTAACTTTAAACTTTGAGCCAATTTATCTCTGTCCTTGCAAAAGCTATCAAAAAGTAATCAACTGACAAAATGTTTATCATAATTTCAAAAATATTTTATCAGTTAACTACGTTTTGATACCTCTCACTGGGATCGAGATATATGGGTTCAAAGTTGACCATTGGAGAGGGGCGTTCTATTAAAGTGTTTACGGTAACTAGCAGATCACAACCTAACTAGTAGATAGAATGGCAGATGCCAATTTTTGTGGACTTTCAGATAGTAATTAAAATTTAAGATAAAATTTGTTTTTTTTTTGAGTTTACCCAGTTTTTTCATAATTAAAAACAAAAAAAATTTCACATTACACAAAGGCCTGAAAAGTTTGCCCGAAATGTTCCCACGAAAATGAATTTTGAGGTCAAACTCGAATATCGGAGAGTTAATCCTGAAAACGTAAAAAGAACGCAGGTGAAAATTGAACTGCAACCCACTAAAAGATACTAATAGATCGCTAATTTGAACAGAAAGAATATAACCCCGAAACTTTGAAATTCGTATATTCTTAAAGATGATTATTTTGTCAATATGATGCTAAGTTCTTCAGATTTGGTTCTCAATTTTGGAAGCTCTCGGATCATGAAAACAATCGACGGAGAGGTGAGTAATTTTATTCAGTAGTGGGGTTGGTAACAAAAATAGTGTAGTAAATAAGCAGCTGGCGATGGTGGTCTACCGAATTTGGTTCCAGGAAAATAAAATACAAAATAATAACTTTTTTCTTCAAGTAGACCTAAATCAGTAGGTTATGCTTCATTGGAAACACAGTTCAAAGAAGTAACCAAAAATTGAAATAATAAAAAAATCAATCTTCTGCCTCACTGGATTATCTTTTTTTTTTTACTTTTTCGGTTGACTAATGATCTTAGTGAAATTATGATGAATCTTATTTTTTGAGCTGAGAATCAAACTTTAACTTTCTATATTTTTTTTCTTCTTGTTACCGTAAACAAATCGTCAACTTTAAGCCTAATTATCTCGGTCCCTGTAAGAGATATCGAAAAGTAACAAACTGATAAAATATTAATGAAATTATGATAAACATTTTGTCAGTTGACCACTTCTTAATAACTTTTCCAGAAAATGAGATATATAGATTCAAAGTTGACGGGTTGGGAATGAATTCTATTATGTGGCAGGAAAGTAACTGTCCATTTTTTATTAGTAAATAAAAAAAAACAAGATTAATCCAAGATTGACAGTATGTACCGTCGTGATCCACAACATGTTGTCAACATTTAGGTAACTCGTGGATACCATCCCTCCAAAAGCCGACTGGGCGCGAATCAAAGTATTACTGTAGCACATTTTTTTCTCATCGATAATGTTAATGTCCTTACGCTCCAGATGAAGTCGTATATCTTCGAATAACCAATAATAACGACTTCAAATAACCAACAAAATCAGAACTTTCACGGGGGTAAAGGAGAACCGTCCAGCCAAAGCGGCTGAGGAACGACGTGACTTTCCGTGAACATGCGGTTTTTCATTTTTTAACGACAGGCAAGTCAGACCCGAGCCGCTTCAGCGAGATGGTTCTCCCTCACCTAGTTATAGTCCCGACTTGACTCTATCAAATTATAGGTTATTCGGAGATATACGAAGTCATCTAGAGGGTGATGAATTTTGCACCATTTATGAGAAAAAACTAAAAAAATGAATTCTTTGATCCGCGACTTGCTCGCTTATGGAGGAAGGGTATCCACAAGAAACCTGAATGTTGCCAACATGCTATGGACCACGACGGTGCATACTGCTAATCTTGGCTTAACCTGGTTTTTGTACTATTCACAATTAAAACAAGGGACAGTCACTTTCCTGCCAACCTAATATTAGGTTTTGGAGTAAGTTGTTTCATTGTTTTTTGTTTTCTGCCCTCCTCATCTAAATTTAATAATTTGATCCGTTTCCATTCCATCCCACGCACCGAATATAGTGTAAAATTTTGATTGATTATGACTCTCTAATTCGATTGGACTTATTTGTCAAAACACACATTTCACATGAGAATCTGGAATTCTGGATATTCAAAGTATACGTCAAGCGTTTAGAAATTCTATGTTTAGAAATTCTGATCTTTTTAATTTCACCTGCTCATCTTTGAAATCAAAATTTGATTTTTCATGTATACCTTTCATAGTGGAACGCTTTCTTTTCTAACTATTACTAATTGTGTTTAAGCCAAGATCAGAAATATCAGAAAACCAAAAAACAATATCAAAAGTCGTTTCTGTTCCATGATTTCTCAGAATAGCTTTCAAGAGTCTTTTAACAAATAAGGAATTGAGGAGAACTTGAGAAGTTAAGAACGCTATTAATTTGCTGCTTCAAAATAATAAACTCTTCAATTGGCAAGTTGCAGTTTAAATTGTTAAACAATTACCGTAAACACTCTAATATAATGCAAGGCCACTCTATACATACCCTTTTAACCTATATCACTCTTTTCCTGTAAAAAATATCAAAAAGTGGTCAACTGACAAACTGTTTATTATAAAATCAAAAAAATTTTGTCAGTTGATCACTTTTTGATATCATTTACAGGAAACGAGATTGATTGGCTAAAAATGCAAGTGTCGCATGGTCTTCTAGTAAAGTGTTTACGGTATTCTAGCTTCTTGTAGTTCTACAGTATTCATTTCAGCCCCTACCGATGTTTAATTAGAATGTGAATTTAGAATATCAAAACTTTTGATCTTTTATTTTTCACACAAAGGCGTTCGTGACTTGTTTCATGATCAGCCAACCATTGTTTTTATGTCTAGAATTTATTATCTTTTCTCTTCTTCAACTGATCTTCATCTTCATTTCAGAACATAACAGTTATGCATTACCTCGTATACTACAACTCCAATCAATCAAAGTTAGATGACACTTGGGTTTATTACCAAATCCTGACATATTTTGAATTTGCTTGTATTTGCTTCAGGTGAATTTTTTGAATATCTTGTTCATTATTATCTCTCAAATTCCAGTTATCCTCCAATTATATTCCTTGGCTATCAACTTTTCCAACACAGAATATTCCATCAGAATCTTCAAAATTGTGTGAGAGCTGCGGTTGTAGAGTACCTGATTCAGTTGACATCTCGAAGTATTCAAATCTTTTTGATTTTCAATTCAGAAGAAAATGGATTGGGTAAGAATTCAAACTTTTAGTTTTTATCAGCAAAGTTTTTTTATTTTCAGCATTTTACTACGCATCATTGGCTCGGTGTACATGCTATTTTTTCGGTGAGATTCAAGCTCCTGTAAACCTTTATTACATCTCCCTGTAATAGAAGTCTCTTCAAAATGTGTTTTTTTTAATTAAGAATTTTTGTACGTTTTAGTGAAAAATATTCCGGAATTTTCACAGAAATTTGTTGAAAACCCCTTATTGCTCAAAAACTTGCTCAATTTTTGTGAAACCTATGAATACCGGCCCTTTTAACACAGTTTTTACGGTAGGTGGTAGACTTCTTAACCCCATTATTTTCAGTTTCCTTCTCTCTTCCTGGATTTGTAATTGAACGATGCTGTGCTTCATACTTTCTTTCGGATTATGAGAAACGAAGTCGTCATTATATCAGTATACTTTTACTAACAACTTCTGCTGGAAGTAGTGCTCTACTTTCCTATCTCTATCATCAGTGTAAGTCTTTTGAAACTTAAAGTCTCTCTAAATCATTTTTTTTCCAGCCGAATCTACATTAGTCTATCATATAATCGTTCTTGTCATCAATGGAATATCTTCTGTTGTCCTGGCAGTTATCGAAAAGTACAATTATACAAGACTTCATGAAAGTTCGAATTTACGGAAAAGCAAGAAAGAATATTCGTTAGCAGAGCGATTTCAGATTTCAGAAAACATACGGGTCTGTGAGGTATAATTTCTTTCTTTTGTAAAAAAATCTACAATGTGAATATCCAGCTCATGAAAACTATTATAAATGTGGTTGCACTCTTCAATTTGTTATCAACAGCATCTGCTGCTCTTGACAACTTTAAATTCTCCCAATCATTTTTGAATGTAGCTGCTACTTTTTTCAACTTTTGCGTCCTCACGTAAGGCTTCAAAAGTCTCCAAAAAAGAGAAATTGTATAAAAATATTTTTCCAGATATGGATCTCTTGTTTTCTTTCTGTTTTATTATTTGGTGCCCCAGTTCAGACTTGCGCTGAAATCAACTTTTACAAAGGTAGATATAGTGAAAACTATAATAATTATTATTTGAATTTCAGATGAGAATTTTAAATCCAGTATCTCCTTTTCCCGAAGCACTAAACGAAAAACCGTGCCAAATGGCGGCCAAAGAGACGGATGAATATTTCACACAGCTTCGGAAACAGTGGCTCTAGAATCTGGATATTGAATTTTCTAAAACTAATTTATTTTGACACTTATTGCTTTGTATTATTTATATGCATTTAAAATTCGGTTCCTGCAATTTCGGTTCCTGCAAAAGATAACTAGAAGTGATCAACTGATAAAATATTTTTGAAGTTATGATAAACATTTTGTCAGTTGACCACTTTTCTCATCTTCGACAGGAACCGAGATATATGAGCTCATAGTTGACTGTTTGGGTGGCTATCTATCAGAGTTATACGGTATTCTTGAACTTTCAATTCTAGGAAGTCCAGAATTGAATATCATTCTAGAATTGAATACCATTTTCTTGATGTATTTGGAAAAGCCCCGAACATTCTAGAACTTTCTAGAAAATCCTACTATCATACAAAGAAAAATTCACTGTCGTAAAACCTGTAATAGAAGGGCTCCCTAACTTTTAGCTTTAATCCAATTTTTCTCGATTCCTGTCAAAGATGTGAAAAAGTTGTCAATTGATAAATTGTTTATCATAACATCAGAAGCGTTTTTTCATTTGACACATTTTAAGGTTTTGCATAAGAATGGTGATATTTGAGCTCGAACTTAACAATGTGCAGACCCTTCTTCTACAGGTTTTACGGTATTTTATTCGTTGTGTATGAATTTTCTGAATCGTTGAAATTTCCAAATATAGAAATTTCGAAATTTAGAGAGTCATACATACTAGTTTTGAATAACAACAACTGGTCCCCCTCTCTCTGCTTCCGTGTTTTAAACAAGAACACCGATTTTGATTGTTTTCAACAACAGCGCATACTCATCAGACATAAGAATTGGCAATGCTGTTTTTGAAAATCTTGTTTTTCTTGGCATAGTTTTATAAGGTTTTTATTCAAATAGCTGTAAAACCAGACGGTGTATTAGTCATCCAAGAAAGCATTAGTGCGGTAAGGATGGTAAAATGGATAAAAATGTTTTTTCAATCTGTGTTCATATTTCTTCGTTATTATCAAAATTCGAAGCAATGCAATTATTATGATTGGATGATCTTTCATCGGAAGTTGTTGGAATTTTGATGAAAAAAAGGAATTGCTTTCGAAGGATGGAATTACCAAAGTACTCGCTTGTCTTGGTCAAAAAAACATTGTCGACTCAAAAATAGTACCATATGTTATGGGCTCTCGGCTAGTTTCGTTTTGTCGCCCATACTCGGGAAGAATACGTTGTTTTTCACATACTTAGCTTTCTCCAAATTCTGTTCATTTTATTCGTCGCTGAAAACTCGCATCTCAAAAAACAAAAAATCCATGTTTTGTTCCGTCCTAATTTGTTTTGAGGCATACGTTATATTGTCGCATGTTCCGAGAAAAGTGGAAGCCGGTGTATTGGCCTAATACTTCAAGAATCTTTGTGGAGATCTTTGAATTTCAAAGACCTAGGTATGTTTTGTGTTTTAATTAGACAACATATACCGTAAAACCTCTAATAGAACTACACCCGGATCGTCCACTTTGAGCCTATATATCTCATTTTCTGCAAAAGATATCAAAAAGTGGCTAACTAGTAAAATGTTGCTGATATCCTGATAAACATTTTACTAGTTAACCACTTTTAGATACCTGTCAAAAGAAGTGAGATATATAGGCTCAAAATGGACGTTCCGGGTGTCGTTCTATTAGAGGTTTTACGGTATATCTGGATGGAAGTCGATATTCATGATTTTATAGAGGTCGATTTGTGTTTTGTATTTATAATTCTACGCATTTTTTAAAAATTAAAACATTCGAAGTTTATTGTATCGTCAAATGGAGTTTGGTGTTGATATTTGGACCTAACCGGAACCCTTTTTGGATTTCAAAAAGATCCCCGCGAAAATGCCATTTTACAGTGGTAAAAAATTGGAGCCGTGGCCGAAAGTCCCACAATGAAAACTACAGTAACCTAAATATATTTATTTTCCGGATTTATTTTCTCGTTTTTTACTGCTTTTCGTCGAGTTTTCTTCATTTTTTTTTCCTGAAAACGCCAGAAAAACGAGAATCCGAAAAAGAAAGTACTTTTAGGTTACGGTAGTTGTCAGTGTGACCCCTTTCACAGCCCCGGTTTTTTTGCACACTTGAAAAATTAAGGCCCGGCACGGTGGACCCAGGTTTTTCACATCTGCAAAATTCTAAAATTTCATAAAAACTAAAAAAAAATTTTGCCGAGATAATTCTGAAAAAAGCCCGGCCCATTTCAAAAATGGCAAAAATGACAGATACCGTATCCTTTTTTCAAGGAACATTCTTAATGTTGTAATTTTGAGAACAGCCCTGCGCCTTGAAGGACTACGGTACACAATCTGTTTTCGCAAATATTTCGAATTCTCGTTTCTTGAATTTTTGAAATCTCGAATGCTTATTTTTCTTCAATTTTTCACATATTTTCGTTGATCATAGTAGGCAGATATTACTGAGTATACGGTGTGGACTCAGCTTTCATAGAATTTGTCGCAGACTATTTCCGTGTTCCCTGCATAAACAGCTTTCGTCGTCTTTTTCCGTTTTTGTGGCGCTGTTCGGTCGGCTGGTCGGTGTTCCTAATAATGTCTTGTGTAGTAAGTATACTCGTATGTGTTTTCCAGAAGAAGCGATTCTGAAAAGTAAAAACATGGGCCCGTAGAGCGGCGCGACTGCGGTCATTTTTGTCAAAAAACAAAAATATTTATATTATTCGAGGTGTCGAGGAAGAATGTTTGGGCGCACAAAAATATTTTTCATCACAGTCTATACCGACTGAAAGAGGGAAAAACCCGAAGAGTATTGTTGTCTTTGATGTGTTCCAGCATCCGATTTCCTTTTTTTATGATTCCCAGTATTTTGGAAATCTTGAACTGTGAATTGAGATCCAACATTCGATTTGAGTGACGCTGGATGGTAGGGACAGCCTCTAGAATTGCCGTCCAGTTGCACTTTTTGCTTTTACGCGAATGTTCAAAGCTTTACGAATGCGCGTCGTTTGTTGGAGCTTTGCGTCGGGACACAAAAATATAATGTTTTGATGATGTCGACACTAACAAAAAACAAAAATCAGTCATTTTGTTGACCACTCGGGAGGGCTACCAGCCACACAGAGACACGATAAATTCGTGGTGGGTCGTGGAACGAAGCTGTTTTCGGGACGTCGAACACAAACTTGTTTCGTCTCCTCTCCATGCCCCGCCGCTCGTTTTGTCTTCTTTTTCTTCTTCTTCGCGTTCATCGCACCACGGCCGAATGTTTTGCTATTGACCACGACCATCACCGTAGCCCCAGTCGATTCCGTGTAAACAGAAGATCTGCCCAGTTTACTCAAGTTTTCCAACTGCCCCGCCTCCAAATTTTGCCTGAATCTCCTTTTCATGAAGTATCATATCCGAGTTCCAGCTGTTTTTCAATTTATGTTTTTTTTTGCAAAAAAGAAGCATTACATTTTTTCCCAACTCTAGTTTTTGGGTTGACTTCAATCTCGGGCTTTTCAAGTATGTACACAATACTTTAACGTCAGGTGCTGACCTAATACAAAATTCAAAATATTGAAGAAATAAAAATATTTTGGTAGTATTCTCGTGATCAGAGGAATGTTTTCAGCCACATACTTTTCGATCTATTTAAATAGTCAAGTACATCTTCTGCTAGTACATCTTCCGGGGCGCTCTCGGTGTTCTTCCTTTCTCTTCCAGTTCCTCCATCTTTCCCATTCTCTGTGTGTCTCACTTATAAAAAAGTTCGGCGTTCGTCATTTTTTTGTGGGTGCACATGTTAGTTCTTGCCTCGGGCAGAGTTCAGTTTAAAAATTGATAATGATAAGCGAGTAAATGATAACAAGAGGAAGGACGAGAGATCGGTTTTTGATTCGACCAATTTTGTCTGAAATTCAGACACACCCGCGGAGAGGACCAGAAGGTCAAGAAGCGAGCACAGTCAAAGATCAAAAACGTCTACTGATGCTTGGCGTCGTCCTCCATTTCTCACGTCGTCCTTTCCTCTCCTTCACTCTACATACATTTCGATCTTCAGTCGTCGCCTCGCTTTGTCGTTGCGTCTGCGTTTCATTCCATTTCGCAATCTTTTGTAATAAGTGGCCCCCCCCCCCCCCGAGTATGGGCAGTCCTGGTCGTCCGATAGGTTCACATTTCGATCTCTTGTCCCAGAAATGTAGCTGAGCAGCAGCAGTATTAGTGATTCATGGTGGTCGCACCCGTTACTTATCGGAATGTTCGCAATCTTTTCCAGTGCTGACGATCAGCAGGTTGAAAAATTTTCTCATTTTTTTCGCCTACACATTATATTCTTGCACTCTTCTCTGATCCATTTGAACCCTTTCTATATGCGACCTTTTTATTGTGTCTCTCTATCTCTTTCACTCTACTTCCCGGCTCTAATTCAGCTCCAACCCAATAACTTTGCTCTAGTTGTGACGCCCTTTTCTCTTTTTAGTGCAATCTCTTTTTCTCTCACATCGATTTTTTATTAAACCTTTCGTGATACATTGGCTTTGAGGAAACGAATTTTACCAAAAAACCAATCCATATCTCTCATTTTCTGATCTAGGCGGAATAGCACGTTGCTTCTCAGCGACATGACTCAGAAGACCTAAGATGTCCATACATAGGAATCACAGCGATCAGGAATGACGCTGCAATTTTTTTCCTCAGTTTCTCATTTCTGTTCTTTCTTATTTGGCGTCTTTCAGGAAAAATAGTTTCTTTTCATTCCTCTCACCTAATGTAAAACAAATGTGCTCTTCATACCTTCTTATTCCTTTGAACAAAAAAAATATTGATTTTTAATAGCGCTGGTCTCCAAGATCTCCAAAAGGATAAATGTCTAGATTTGATAGATAACGTTCTGGGTTTTGTCCTGTCATCGTTTCAGAGAAAAGCTAGTCCGGGGGAAAGCAACGCGAAAATACAGCAGTCTCAGGCAATGAAAACAAAAATATTTGTTCGAATGCGGAAAGAAAAAAGTAAGAGACGGGGGAAAAGCAAAAACAGTCGAATCTTGTTCACAACTACTCCTCAGTCTTCCATCCAGTGCAAAACAGACACAGTTGATTTTCTCTTTCACTGATCTGGTAAGCATTACTATGCTATACTCTTTCGGTCTAATCGATCTGTGTGTCAACAAGCATCGTTCACCAACAGCACTTGCTTTAATGACTTTTGACCCGAATTTGATCTCTGTTCATTTATTGGGGTTATTGATTTTTCATCCCATCATCTTGGAGGACATTGTTCACTGAAACGATCTAACTTCGAGATTCGGAAAACGGTCGTGAACTGTTGGTCTTTCGAAAGTTATGACTTTGTGAACGGTCGGTCATGAGAGTGTTGATGCAGGAAAAATCGAATCATCGCGTGTTTTGATATAATTCGACGGTCTTCTGTTCCACAATTGACGTCCAAAACTTCCGTCCGCGCTTGCCTCGATGCCTAATCCAGCTGTCACAAATAGCTGTTTTCGCAGCTTCTTGACTTCCCCTCACCCTTCTTCACCCATCTTTCATATTCTGCTTTCACTCGTCTAAACCAATCAACCACATATTGTCAAAAATATCGTATATTGTTTGGAGCGCAAACATAGGGGCGAAGGACCGAAGTTCCACCGAATGAGCGAAGAGAAATGCGCGGAGGTGCAATGGGCTTTTTGATATGTCTGCGACTCCGTGCTCTATGTGCCTGATGTTTCTTCGGACGGATGAGCCAACATGTGCTCTCGCGCATAGTTTAGTTATACGCTCGTTGGCACGTAGTTCATGATTTCAGATGATTCAGAGTCATATAAATTCCCGTAGCGTTCTGGAGACATAGTTAAATAGTTTATGCAGATCGAGAAAAGAATACTGTCACCTGCGTATTTGCAGATTCTGTGCAAATCACCGTAATTTCTTCTTTGTCCGCAAACACGCGGTGGCAGTTTTAATTACGAAAAGTTTTTCGCGAAAATACGCTGATGGCGTTTCATCTTTTCATTAAACATGCTAAAAAATTAAACCTGTTGATCATAAAAACTCTCTCCTTTCTTATTCTAATCCCGATATGCGAAAAACACAAAGTATATGAATAGTGGCTACAAAACTACACTTTTTTATTTCATAATCATGCGCAACTACAATGTTTCGTTACCCAACCAATTTCTCCATCTCTCTCTCCCTCTCTTTAATTTCTTTCCGTTGCGCTTGTTTTCAAAAAAAATGCAATATTTCTTCTCTCCTGCTTTGAGCTAGAAATCGAGTTTATTAGTCATCATTCCTGATCTTTGTTGTCAGAGTTCTACCCATTATTTATAACACTATCTTAGTAACTCGTTGACTCATTTTCTCATAATCATCACTGTTTCGCATGATTTTAGTTTTTTTTTCCAGAAAAATGGACACATTGACACAGTTGAGAAATCAGGCGGATAGCTGGTCAACTTCTGAAGTCAGATCAGTCACACATGGGTTAGTTAATTACTGATTTTTAAAAGACCTTGTTCATTTTCCATAATTTTCAGTCACCTATGGACAATTCGTGGTTTCTCTCAACTTGATTGCAGGTATCTGGAGACAAGTGCAAAGATAAAAGATATGGCTGTAAGTTTAAAAAAAAAATTCCATTCTAAATGCTCCACATACCTTTTTGTACCATTATAATACCGTCGAAGCTCATAAATCGTACATTTTTTCCCGAAACATGATCCAGCTTACAGATCCAGCCAACAAGCCAGCCATCGGGCTCTGCAGCTCTTCCTGATTTGCCGGACATCACTTTCCGAATTAGACTACATCCACAAGGAAATAAAGAGTCGAATAAAGACTTTACATTCTTCCAGGTTCAACTAACATTTTCTAGATTCCCCTAAACAATAGAATTTCAGTGTTTCACCAATCAGAGTACTCATACGGGATCGCCAACATTCAAAGCGAAATTCAAGTTTGCTGTGCACAATGAGAGAGGCGAAGAAACTCCGACCACGGTCTACTCGGGAACGCAACAAGTGAGCTTTTCTTTTATTACTGTTAGTAACCCAAAATTTTTTCAGCTTCATGGATATTTCGAGTACATTCGTCGAGAAGTTCTAATGAGCCATGTTCAACCAGGCGACGATTTGTATCTTTCGTTGAGCATTTTCATTACTTTTGATACAGTTACAAAGTGAGTGTTTTTATTGAAAGTCAAGTTAACCCAGATTGATTTTCAGAGCTTCCCAAACTGTTCGCTACATACCACCAGACATGCCGAAACCCACCGAAGTTACCAAAGATCTTGAGAATTTGTTTCGAAGTGGTAAACATGCGGATTTCACTTTTGTTATAGAAGGAAGAGAACTGAAAGCTCACAAAGCGATTCTCGCGGCTCGATCTCCGGTTTTTGCGGCAATGATGGAGTCTCACACTGCCGAATCGCAAAATTCTCGTGTTGTGTTGGGAGAAATTGAATATGAAGTCGTCCAACAACTTCTGAACTATATCTACTCAGGAACATGTACCAAAATGGGAGGATATGCGCTCGAAATCTTAGCGGCAGCCGATCGTTTCGCACTTCCTGGTCTGAAGAATTTAGCAGAAGCGGTAAGACAGACTCATTCACCCAATTTGTATCTATTGTTTAACTTTCAAGTTTCTAGGCAATGAAGAACGGCCTCTCCGCTGAGACGGTTTGCAAGCAACTGGCTCATGCTGATCTCTACAATATGACTGAATTCAAAAAAGAGGCAATCAAATTCATTTGCTTGAATGCAAACGCCGTTATAGCTGTGAGTAATATGATAAGGTTCTGATTTCACTAATTTTGTATTTTTTTAAGTCAGAAGGATTCACGGATTTGACAAGAACAAAGCCACATATCATTGGAGATATAATGAGTTCGTTAGCTAATGATCGACACGCACGAACTTCGTTTTTCAATCAAGACGGAACCTGTAAGTTTACACATATCAGTGTATTTTTTCAGTTTTCATAGTATTTTTTTCTAGGTGAACCTTCTAGCAAGCGTGCCAGAATGACGGAAACCAATCTTTGAGCAAATCCTATTTTGATTTTGCAGTACACTGCTGATATAATGCATTTTCCCCCTTATACCATGTCATGTTATTAAATCGTTTTCTTTCTCATGTTTATTTCTCCCAAATTTAACTTCTTCTCATGTTCTTCTGTTACAACTAACTTTGCATCTTAGCTTTTTTGAATCTCAGCGACTCCCTATCAAATACATTTTCTCAGTTGTGAGTCACGATGTTTCGACCTCCATTCTCCCCATCTCGCTGTATTATTTTCTTTTTTTTTCAACACGTCGTCCAAATTTTCGCCAGGACGTTTTGTGCAATTGTGTCCTCAGAAAATGTCCCAGCCTACGGTTACCAACTTGTGGAAGGTTAAAAATCTCTCCAATAGTTTTTTTTTTGAAAAATTAGTCTCTTTTTCTATTGTCTGTGCAATAACCTATTCATTTTAAAGAATACCCATCTTCCGATGCTTCCCAAAACCTCTCCCATTCGTTTTCCCCCATTGCTTTTTCTCAGTATCATTTTATGAATGGCGTAATGAATTATTTATTGTTCTCTTCTCTCTTAATTATAGTTGTGTGAATGTATCACCTAATTCAGCTTTTATGATAATCTGGAAAAAAACAGGTCGAATCGGAGGTGTCTCATGGAGGATGTCAATGTGAAACACAGACAAGATAGGATCACAACCTCAATAGAAGTTTGCGAGTCGGGATCTATCGCTTTTACTTAGAAGATCTCATCTATTTTCCGTATATGCAACTAAAACTTTGGGAAGCGTTTTCATTCCGTTTCATGGTTTCACATTTCAGAGTTTTAAAATTTTACTGTAAAACCTCTATTAGAAGGACCTCTGACTTATAACATAGAGCTGTTCTCTCCGTCCCTGTGGGAGATGTCAAAAAGTCGAGAACTTATAAATTCGCCTTTATTCTGGTTACGAAAAATCGGAGTTGTACATTTGTAATACGGAAATACGGAAAATAAAAATTATTTTAGGTTACTCTAGTTGTCGTTGCGGGCCGAAGGTCCCACAACGACCACTACCGTAATCTAAATATATTTTTGTGTCAATTTTCTTGGTTTTTGCTGATCTTCATCAAATGTTCTGTTAATTTACTCCAAAAAAACTTGGAAAACACAATTTTCGATAGCGAAAAGATTGACTGAAAACGCACGAAAATCGGCTCCGCTTCCATTCGGAACCGGTCATTTCGAAACTATGATAATACGGATGAATTTCAGACTACAAAAAGGGTTTTGGGGTTTTCAAATATGCTTTTTCTGATAAAAAAAACATTCTTCAAAAATTCGAAAAAAAAATCTGAAAACACTAAATTTTTTATTTTTTCAGATTTCAGAATATGCTCTTTCAAAAAAAGCATATTTAAAAACCCTAGGATTGTTTTTGTAGTCTGGGATTCCTCCATTCTCCTGTATTACCACAGTTTCGAAATGACCGGTTTGGAAATGACCGGTTTCGAAGTGTCGCAGTTTTGAAGTGACGTGGAGCCCGAAAATCGAAATAATAAATACGGAAGATAAAACGAATTAGGTTACTGTAGTTGTCGTTGTGAAGCCTTCGGCCACGGCCCGCCGGTATTTCTCTTCCACCATTCCGATTCTTTTGTACCAGAATAAAAATAGCACAAACTTGACAGTGTGGGGGCCCTTCTATTATAGATTTTACGGGATTATAGTTTTCTTTCAAATTTCCCATCAGTCAAGTACCAAATGAAATGTGCTGAGAACAAGTTCAAGCGTTCACCCACATGTTGATCTTCTAGTGTAACGTTTCTCTCGGAGTGAGCTCACGGAGAACATGACAGCTGATCGAAATCCGTCGAGAGTTTGGCTTCTCCCTTCTTCTTCTCTTCTTCTCGATTTTTCAATCTCTCGAAATCAATCGTTTCGAAACTCATTGGTTTCTTTCTTAATTCAGGAACCAAAAACAAAAAAAAAACAAAATGATTCTAACAAAAATATGAATCATTCGTTACCACCTCCATCCCAAAGCTTTTGTTTGTTTTCAATTAAAAAATGATTCTTTATGGTTCTTCTTCGCACTAGGAAAACGAATAATTCTCGAAAGCTATTACTTCTTTGGTTTTAGTTTAAAAATCATGACTTGTTAGTTTTTGAAGCGGAAAAATTTCAAGAATATTTCAAAAATTGAGAAAAAAAATCATCTCTTATCATCCGTTAGTTAATTTGCAAGCTTTTTAGAAAGTAGTTGATAAATTTCCGCTTCTATTATTCTTTTACAAAAATCGGAACTGTGGAAGAGAAATACCGGTTGCCATGGCCGAAGGTCCGATAAAAAACTACAGTAACCTTAAATATTTTCATTTTCCATATTTTTTCTCGATTTTTTTAAGTTTTCTGGCCATTTTTTCACTATAAAAAATGTTCGTTTTTCGACTTTTTTGGGGGAAAATAACAGAAAACTCGACTAAAATCAGTAAAAAATGAGAAAATAAATCCTGAAAATCAACATATTTTTAAGTTACTGTAGTTGTCGTTGTGGGACCATCGGTCATGGCCACCGGAGCTTCTCTTCCAGAGCTTCAATTTTTTGTATTTCTTAATTTCATAATTTCAACATGAGTATTGATTTGTACATCTACCACTCTTCCCCGTCTCCCCTCTAATATAAGTCCCTCCCAAACCGTCAACTTTGAGCTCAGTTATCTCGATTCCTAAGAGAGCGATCAAAAATTTGTCAACTGATAAAATATTGGTAATATTAGGATAAATATTTTTTTGAGTTAACAACTTTTTGGAATCTCTCACGGGAATCTAGATAATGGAGCTCAACGGTTACTGTTGGATGGGCTTCCATTATAGGAAGTACGGTAGTTTGTTGTTTCTGTTGATAAACCAGAATATAAGTTTGTACTTTTTAATTTGGCAAAATGAGTGTTTTTATTGTCAAACCAGCCTGTTTGCCGCGTCTCCCGCGCTTCGAACAGCTGGCTGGCGCGCCTTTGGCGCGATTTAACCTAGTTTCTACTCGTTGCTATAAATCTGACGAAACTCATTTAGCTACAGTACCCGAATAAGTATAAGGAAAGGTATTGGAGGTTTCTTGTTTCTGAGTAAACCTAAACCTCACAATCAGTGGTTTCTTTCCAAACAAGATACAAATAGTTTCTCCCACTTATCCCTTCGAACGGGTACACAAAACAATTTCAACAATAATGCGTGGGGGTGGTGGAAAAGGGATAAAAGGGATGTCAGACACCTCTGATCGGGGAAAAGAGCCGCCCGTCTTATCTCATGTTGATTCTTTCTCGATCAACTTAGTCAGCAAAATGTTTGCCAACCTAGTCAGCAAAACGTGAGGATTATGCAGTAGGAAGCGGCTGATCTCCGGATCCGATTTTTACACACCTTGCCGTTTGTTTCTATGTTATCACCCACTTTTCGCTCAATCTTCATTTGAATTTTATCACTTTATCAAGAAAGAAAGATGTGTTCACTTCAGCATTTACATATCCCTTATCTCACTTTGTACTTTCTTTTGTTCTCTTTTCGATTTCTCTTGTACTCTTCCCTTTTCTTCTCCCTTTTCAATTTTGTTCCGTTTCAATACTCTCCAAACAGCTTCTCCGTTTTTCTTTCCCATTTTTAATCACCCAGCCACACCTGCTTCTCTTTTTATTACGGAACCCCCATTCTAAAGAATTCTGCAGTATGAGCACTTCATGTCGACGTCTGGATGATGTGGCATTATGGAGTATTCTGAAAGCTGTGGATGCTTCCACGTTGCAGAATTGTAGAAGAGTCAGCACGAAGTGGAATGGCGAGATTCTGAGATTGAATGACTATACCAGGTATCAACTTTTGGAGCTTGTCTTTATTGTTTCCAACTTTCAGCAAATTCAATCCAGACACCCTGATTCTAGAACTCGCTGGTTCAAAATTCAAAGTTTCAGTGGGGACACCGGTAGACAGATGAGCTTTGAGAACATCATTCATATGTTTCCTTCCAGAATGCTAAGAATGGATCTGCAGAAAACTTGTTGAGTTCTGAAACAGTCCGAACGATGCTGTGTCATGTGGCTTCTCCAAAAACACTTTTGATTTTTCTGAGCCATGAAACCGATATAGAAGGCTTCGAAGTGATGATGAGTGGAATCAGAGATAATTGGATCAGTAATGTTCAAGAGGTAATTCTTTTTTTGTATATTTCTTCAAATTTTCATTTCAGCTTGAAATCGTTTCTCATAATCCCAGTCTATCTATTTCCAAAGTCTTGCAATACTTGAAAAAGACTCCAAACTTGACTTATTTTTCACTTTCCCATCATTGCAACGAAATTATTTCGATTGGAGATATTTTTGAAAGTCTTCGTAATTTGAAATATCTGAGAATTTTTGGATTCAACTCAAATGATGGAAGTGCCTGCTCTAGTGGATTGATCTTTGACGATGAGGCTGTGAAACAGCTTCTGAGAAATCAAAACGGATGTCGGAAATTTCAAAATCTGGAACTGTACAATACAGATATCACAGTTTCTTTGGAAACTTTGACGGATTTTTGGAGAAGGGTGGCACGTCTCCCACCTGATAATAGTGTTCCACAGAATGAAAATGGGCCGAAAGTGAGTTTTCAAAGCTTTAAACAAAAAAAAAGTTTTTGATAGACACCTCAAGCTGATAAGACTGTGAACCTTCTATTCAATAACTGTGGTTGGAATTCTCTAGATGAATTGGATCTTCTTTCTGATATTATCCGACTGGCTTCTCGATTTGATTTTCCAACTCAACAGCCGGATGATAACACTTTGAAGGGTGATTTCCAATTTTCCATTTTCGAAACCAATTTCCTTCTCAAACTCATGTCGGGAAATTAAAAACTCATGTCTTAAAATACTGTATTTTCATTGTATCTGTAAATTTGTTCTATCTGCTGTAATTTGCCAATAAATTTTATTGATTCTAGAGAATTAATTCTTTTATTTAAAAAGTGATTTTGAAAGCATTCAAAGAAACCCGTAATCAGGAAAAAAAACCAAAGAGGAAGAAAAGAAAAATCAGCAGTAAGAACAGGAATCGGACTGAGAATACCTTGGAGAAAAGAGATCACAGTGAATGGAGTCAAACTGAATGAAAATGAGGGAAAGTCTACTACACGTCGGAACTAAAAAAGTTACTAGCAGAATTTGCATGTTTTTGGACACAACGATGACATAACCTGATAAATTGCTGGAGATCTACACCGATCCGCCGTCCACCAACAAACAGTTATCCGGTCTTCGCATTCTGAAGAACAAAATATTTTTAGTATAAAATTGTTAACAGAGGACTCTAAAAATTTTTTTGGCATTAAAATGTTTTAAAATTATCTGGTTTCCTGATAAACTTGCGAAAAAATTCAGGGAAACCTCGAAATCCCTGAAAACGCAAACACGCCCGGTGTTCGTCCAAGAGGGTCGCAGGCTAGTCAAGGCCACTGTGTTCGTTGTTTTTCATGCAATTATAAAGATTTTTTGTCGTCTTCGGTGGTCTTTTCTATAATAAAAATTGATGAACAGAACAAAACAGTCTAGTTGACCTCACAAATGATTTAAAAATTGCATGAAAATACCGCACACACTCTAATAGAACGCCACCGAAATCATCAACTTTGAGCCAATTTATCTCGGTTCCTGTGAAAGATATTGAAAAGTGATCAACTGACAAAATATTTTTGATATTATGATAAACATTTTGTCAATTGACCACTTTTCGATACTTTTCACAAGAAATAAGATATATGGGCTCAAGGCTGATGGTTCGGTGGCGTTCTATTAGACTGTTTACGGCAAGTTGGACGAAAACTGAACGCATTTGCATTTTTGAAGGCGTTTTTCGGGGAATTTGAATTTTTAAAAAATTTCTTAAGATTAGGAAAATACATAACTTTTTAAGCATTTTAATGCAATACAAATTGTTGGTCGAAGCCCCCCTTTAAGTATCTTACGAGAGTTTGTAGATGGCTTGTTTGTATTATAGTTCACCCGTCCAGAACTGCTCGAAACAACAAGACTTTGTGATGGAACTTGTGCCATTGGAGGCATTATTGGTCCTTGTTGCATATCGAATGATCGAAGTGGAATCTTCGGTCGATCTTCGTATTTATGATGATATTGCTGATATTGTGGAGAATAAATAGGTACGTGCTGAAAATCGAATTATTTGAAGTAGGGGGAACAAAATTTCAAACCCTAGCTCTGGCGAATGGAGCTGTCACACTTTTTTCGAGTGGACAATTGTACATCCGGTTGATTTTCGAAATATCTACATCGGAAAAATCACGGGCGTTTCCAATTGTGGCTGCTGAAAAGAAATAGCCTTTACTGATTGCCGGAAAGTTATTGAAAGTTTTTTGACTTCATTTTTTAAAGTTATCTTTTCTTGATTTTCCAAAAAAACTCACACTTAACCTTTGGCAGCATCGTTGGGAACCCATTTTTTGAAAAAGCCAAGCTATCATAATGAAGTATGGATTTGTAATCATACGGTTGACCGTAATAAGATGTCTTTGATAAATCGACTTTTCCAAATTGATCCAGTGCTCCTCTATCAATGTTTTGCCAAATAATATCAATAAAGTTATCGCGGTCCCATCGTTCTGAACCAGTTACATTTCAAAAATGGGAAAACTGTTAAAACAATTACCATGTTCATGATAGAACCCAACAACATGCATCATTTCATGGATAATTGTTGCATATTCCATGCATCCGTTATCCAGAGACAACACTTGGACACCTGAAGTTCTTCCAACTTCCGAGAAGCATCTGAATACTTCTAGTAACCAAATAAAATATTGGCTTCAAAAAGCTTACCCATCCACTTTTCCAATAAAAAGGTAATCTGGCTCTCCGGCTTGTCGGGGAACAAATCGAATGCATGTTTTTTCATGATACTGTTTTACTGCTTTCGCTAAAAGAGCTCTCTCGTGGGGAGAGTAATGAGGTGAGATGGCGTAGGGAATTCGAGCATTTGGCCATAGTTTCGCTGCTCGAGATACTCCGTTTCTCTGAAATTTCGAATTAATAATAGAACATGTAATAGACGGGTCCCTGACATTAAACTTTCAGCCAATTTCCCCGGTTCCTGTCATAGATACAAGAACGTAATAAACTAATAAATTGTTTATCATAATATCAAAAAGGTTTTGTCTGTTGACATATTTTTTATACCTATCATGGGAACTGACATGAATGAGCTCAAACTTAACGGTGTCTGAGCCTTCCTGTTGTCCCAAGGTATCTCCGGAGGGCCCTTCTATATTACAGGGACCGTTCAATTGGAGGGGACCCTTCTAGTATCCTGGTCATTTTTTTCGGAAAGTTTTGATTAAAAAATTAGCGAATTCTCGTTGGAAACTTATGAAAATGTATAAATTTTGCCAAATTTGAAGTAGTTTTTGAGCAAAAAAGTTTTCAGATAAATTTCTGTGAAATTATGAAATTTCCGGAATTTTCACTGCAAATGTTTTAACTTCATACTACCTATTTCAAAGCGGGCTCTTCTATTCTTCCAAGTCCCTCTCGGAGGGCCTTTATATTAAATGGGCCCTTCTAATACAGGTTTTCCGGTACATAAGTTCTAATGAAACTCACTTTATGTCTCCTTGGTAATCGAATATCTGATTTGAAATCATTTACAACTTCCACCGGGATATGTTTCCCAAATAGTTCTTCTAAAAAAATTATAATTCTTCAGGCATCCAAATTTCCAACCTACCCTTTGTCAGTTTATCAGCAAATGCAAAATCTTCCATATTCAACGAATATGTGCTATCAGAAATCACAATCATCTGATCATCATCTTGAATTCGATTCCTATGACCTAACGTGGAAGGTATTGCAGCTGCCAAAGTGAATATCCATGACAAAATCATGGAGAAGAACTGAAACTATGCGATGGAACAGATAGAGAATGACAGAATAGAGAGAATGTGCATGTTTCGAGTGCGAAATGACCAAAGTGGAAATGTCAACAGATATATTGAGAAGAAGTGAGAAGAATAATGGGGGCGAAAAGCAACCGGATACCAGCCAAAAACAACTATTTGTGTTTGCGGTGATGCTCGCGGAAAAAGGACGAGCTCCCCAGGTATCAATGGCAGGCAATGACAATTGTGGTCAAAAAAATTGGAGGAGAAAATGGAAAAAATAGGAATTGGGCTCTAAAAGTGAGAGAGCAAAGCTCAAGCATAATTCAGGATATCATAATCCCTACAATAGGAGAACCCCTAACTTTTAATTTTAAGCCAGTTTATCTCGATTCCTGTCAAAGATGTGAAAAAGTTTTTAACTGACAAATTGTTTATCATAATATCACAAACATTTTATCAGTTGACGCATTATTGCTATCTTACATAGGAACTATGATAATTTAGCTCAATCCATAGAAGTGGTAGAAATTGTGGCTTTGGATCTTAAGAAAATGTAAAAATAATGATAATTTGTTCACGAAATGTTTAGATGCTCATTTTCGGATGGTCTCATGGACCTATTAATGAAACTTTATCAACGACATCTTTTAAAAATTCCGTGTAAAAATCTAGTTTTTGATGTCTTTTACAGAAATTGAGACGAATTGGCTAAAAGTTAGGGGTGCCGTCACATTAGAGTATTTTCGGTGTATTGAAATTACGTTTTTGCTCTTTCCTCAAATTCAATTTAGGCAGCTTCAAAATATTTTCTAGACACTGTGAGCTGGCCAGTTATCTTTATGAGAGATTTATTACTGTATCTATCAGAATCATATAAAACTGTTTTACAATATTGTTTCGAATAATTACAGTAATGCATATCTTTCAATGAAATCTAAAATATCCTTTCACTAGATCCTCTCCTCTGTGTTTGTTTTCTGTTGGTTAGTGTTTGAAATGTGTGAACTTATGCACATTGTATTTGTTTTCAAGTGCGCTTTTTCTTTTTCTTTTTTAGAAGAGACGCTAGAGAAATAGAGAAAAGCCTCGGAATACTGTGTGAATGATTGCGCAAGATATCCGAGATTAGGAGAAGGCGGCAGATTGCAAAAAAAACGAATCGTACAGGAAATATTTTTGAATAAATGGCAATGAGAAACTGGATAAGTGGGAAAAATGAAACAAAAAGGACGAAGAAGATGGGGAGAGTGTTCAAGACCTTATAGAAAACTAATTGAACAAATAGTCAAAGAATATGGGAAAAAATGGAAGTAATCAGTGTAAACAAAAAACTTCTAATCAGCAGAATGCAGAGAAAATTGAGATTCTGATGAGATAGGAGATGACAGGCTAAGGAATTTTTAGATTGTTGTCATTAGCTATTAAAATTGTATGTACAACTGTATACTGAATTTTCGGCTTAGATGGTCTTCAGTAAAAAAAAGGAAAACGACTGAACTACCGTAAGCCCTTAAAAGGGGGGACCACCAAACCGACCGTCAACTTTGAGCTCAATTATCTCCATTCCTGTAAAAGATATCAATATTTTATCAACTGATAAAATATTGGTGAAACTATTATCAATAATTTATCAGTTGACAAATTTTCGATACCTTTCACAGAAATCAAGATAATTGAGCTCAAAGCTGACTGTTTGGTTGGGATTCTATAAACATGAAAGTTAAAATAATTTCGTGATTAAGCGATTAACAATCGCCACATTTCAGAAGAAGGTTTTATTTTGAAAATGTTCAAATACAGTAACTCTTTTTTTTTTCATCGAAGCTTTATGCTTGATTGGAAAAATGTTCATAACAAAATGATTGAACTACCGTAAAACCTGTGAAAGGGGGACCCCCAAACTGTCGGGGCCCACATATCTTAATTAATGTAGAAGATCTCGAACAGTGATAAACTGATAAAATGACTGTCATAATATCACCAACATTTCAGCAGTTGACTACTTTTTGATTTCTTCGATGACTGAGTAAAACCAAATTGAATCTTAAAGTTAAGGGGCCCTCTTATTACAGATATCACGGGATTTGGTTTGAAGAACCATGATAATGTTTTATGTCTAGAGAAGTGTTCGATATGAAATTTCAAGAATGAAAGGGACGGTTCATACACCGGGTAAGAAGTAAGATGTAGTAGAAGTAGTAGTCGTGGCGTCTTCCTCCTTCCCCCCTCCTTCTCTCCTTTTTTTTCCTCCTCATCCAATGGCATGGCTGTTGTGTAATATCGCGATTTTAGCACCACAGCGTCTGCGCATCTCTGTGACAAGTGAGAGTGAGCTTGTTTGAACTACACTATCCAACCGGTTTTTTTAAGGGTTGATGGCAGGAGAAGGGCATCGTCAGTTGATTCAGATGGCACGATTAGAGATGAGTATAGGCGAAAAAAAGAAGGCCGCGCGGAAAAGAAACAAAAACGGTAATAGACGGCAAGGAGAAGAAGCCGTTGGCAAGGGTCACGAGGCGACGGAGGGAAAAAGTTCAAGGCTAGAAGGAGGAAATTCTAGTTCTGAACGGTTACGACGACAGACTTACATCATTTGATTCAAGAATCCTAATGTGGTAATAGAAGGAAATGAGGCAGTAACTGTAAAACAACGAGGGTAGGGGCAGTAGTAAGTAAGCAGTAATCAGGTTCTCGAATTTACTTGTCCTTCACAATCTTTATTTCTCAGAACATGCCAGCCATTCTTTTTTAATCCAAAACAATTTTTTTACTTTTTTTTTTGTATAAAATGTTGTGTATTGAGAAGATCAGCATGACCTTGTTGGTTTTTCTTATTCTTATTCACAAAAAAACTCCATATCCGATTGAAATATTCGTTGCGCAATCGCGCTCTTGCCATTGAAACCGGAAAGTGAAATCGTTGGCGCACGCTTTCACCTTTTCGGATGAGAAGAGAAGAGAGGATCGAGAAGAAACAAAAAAACAGTTTTCAGGCAGAAAAATCAACTTTACAACTACCAGTTTGTACAACGGAAGGGAAGCGGAAGAAGATCGAATAAGGAAAATATGAAAAAAAAAAAAACGTTGAAGATGAAACAGAACAGAAGATCTTTCGGAAGGAATTTAAATTGCGATTGAATAGAGATAAGAACACCTAAACGAACTAGACAATTGCTTTCGAATAGCTGGGTTTAAATCATACTTATAACGGGCCGGGTAGGGAATTTTGAGAACATTTAAGGACTGATTTTGAGAACATTTAAGGAATGACCCGCGTTTCTGTAATTTTTGCTTGAATTTTCAAAAAAAGTTTTTCAAGAGAACACACATTTCCTGTGTTACATAAAGTTTGCAAAGAACGGATCATCATTAAAATATACTTCTCACAGTAACATTTCTGAAAATCCTAAAAAAAGACCCAGACCCTGACTTTTCAAGTATGGTTTAAAGTTGAATCTCCTTCAAGTCAATTAGTGTGTTTTTGAATTTCAAAGTATCGGGAAAAAAGTTTTCAGGAATAGAATGAGCAGCGAACGAGGCTATCGAAAAGTATAAGCTACCTTGACAGTCCCTTGAATTTAAAAAGGATAGAATATATCGCAAGGTTTTGAGAAGAGAAAAGAAGAAATCACTATTACCCACACACAATAAACTTTGATGAGTCTTTAAAAATCAATTAAGGTAACTGCGAGAGATATGCATATCTAGCGAAAATAACTTTTTGAAACTTTCATGAAGGAATAGAACATAAGCCAATTTGAATTTCAGAAGTGATATTATATAATTTCAGAAGTGATACCTTTGAATTTCAGAAGTGATATTCATGAAAAAAATTAAAACAATTCAGTAAAAACTTCAAAGATACAAAACAATCAACCAATTTTTACAGATCCTGGTGAATTTCTCGCGACATGCCTATTTGGGAACTGCTATTAAGGAACGAATGAGCCATTCCCTGGAACTTGAAATGGATGAAAATGAGGAAAATTTAATCCAGTGGCAATCTCAAAGATATAAAACTATCATCAATCTGTAGATTGAAAAATTTTGTTGCTTACTATTAATTGAAGGCAAAAAGAGCAACTTTTCTTCAAAGAATAATGCCTTTTTAAAACTATTAAAGATGTTTTCTGGGTTCAGATGTTAAATAAATTAGCTGCATAATAATCAACAAAACGAAGTAGACTTTTATTCCTGGTAAGGGAACAGACTGAACGATTCGTAAACTGTAATAAGATCGTCTTCTTCTTCTCTTTCTTCCAACCTGATCCTCATTTTTTCCAAAGAGTTCCTTTTCAAAAGATCATACGCGGAAGATGCCGTCGGCAACTTATACACCTGTTATCATCGGATCGGAAACCAAAAAAAATGGGGAAGTCGTGGATGAGACCGCTGAATTTATAATTGCGATTGCGCAACAGAAACGGAGAAAGACAAAGAGAGAAAGAGAGATACGAAATCTGCTAATCTTTGGAAGGATGTATAAAAAAGCGATAGAAACAAAAGAAAATGATGGCAGTAGTGAGAAATTGTTAGTTTACTTTGAGACTGCCCCTGATGATGATGAAGCCAAGATGGTGGAGGATTGGAAAAAGAGGAAGGCGGTGAGGCGAGGAATCAGATGGACACATCGTGTAACAAGAAGAAGCCACTTGATAGGAAAAGAAAAAGATCTCGTTTCGTGGAGAGAGAAAGATGGCGGTGGTTTGAAAATTATTATGCAATCGACTGGCAGATGAACAAAATTGAATGGATGAAAAAATACGGGGAAACAGAGAGAAGAGGTTGTTGATGTCTGGTTCTCCTGAAACAGTTTTTTTCGCGGGAAAATATGATTCCCGGAAAAATATAGTCACTTAAAAATGCATCGTTTGAAAAACGGTGTCAATGTTATCGAAAAGTTTGTGGACCGAAAGATTAAACTATATCTTTTATGGGAAACTGAAGATTCGAACACTTCAACAACTTCATTCGCATGACTTTATTTTCAGTTACATAAATAGTTTTTATGAATGTTATTTTTATCGAATCATAATTATTTCATTTCTTCTCTGACTAGTTTCGAGGATCTGATAAACAAGAAACAACAGATGATAAAAATAGAAATAGAAAAAGAGAAATAATTGCAACCTTTTTTATGTTGCCTTTTGATCAGTTGTTGTTTTCAGAGAGATCAATACAAGATAGGTTTACTTAATTTGAACCTAAAGTTGTTGCTCAAATTTTTTGTACTTCTAGGTTTTGTGACGCGTCAGCTTCGCTGATAAAAATTCCTGTAACAGGTCGGGCGGCGGTTTCTAACCAAAATTTCCAAGCCCAGGTTTTCTGTAATTTGGTTTCCTGTCTTTTCAGCAGAAAAATTCATTTCGGGGTCAGTTAAAAATTACTTACTTTTCTGTCGAATAAACATCTCGCAGTGTCGTTCAAAAGTATTTTTTACAGGAAAATTAGGAAAAATTGCTGAAATTTTCAAAAATGTTTTTCAACTGTCGAAAGTTCGAGAAAGAAAAATCCCCAGCCCGATCTGGTCCGGCCAGGCTTTGATTTTTCAAGTATGTTGAAAAAAATGCGTGCCCGCGTATCAGTCAAAGTCGGAACTAAATACTTGGACGATGCCGGCCGCCATTCGGCAGTGGGTAGGTTGCCGTTTTGTTTCAAAAGTCTTCCAAATTACAGCTAAATTTTTCTAACATCATCTTTCATCTTTTTTAACTAATTGGTTCCGTGTTGGATCCAAAAACCATTCCTACACCATATCTATTAGTGCTCCGTTCCACTTCTTTTAGTCATAGCTTCCCTGTTTTCTATTTTTCTGAGAAAAAAGGCATGTCACAGAAAAATATGATGACCAACACTGAAATTATCTCGCCACTTGAATACATAATTTGTTGAATGAAGTAAGATCACACGTCAATTGGACCCACCGTAATTTGAGATGAAGAACGGAAATGCCGGAAAGCTCATATAAATGGTGTAGATTTTTTAACAGAGCTGGAACAAGATGAATTTTTATGTCTTTTGGTTTCAAACATTTCTAAAATTGATGACTTTCACCACAACTTTCACATTCCGTCCTTCTAAACAATGCCTTAAAAATCACATTTCCACTGAATACCCCGAAAACATTTTTCTTTCTCAAATGATTTTCTTTCTGACTTATTATTTGAAACTACTTCCATTGTTCTCTGTTTAATTTCTTTCAGGTTTCCAGATACTCCGCATCCCAATGGTTTCGGATTCAAATCGATTCGTTCCATTTGTTGATATTTATTTCAATTTATATTTTTTCGGTGGACTCACTTTTCAAACTGTTTTGTTGATTCTTATTCTTACTAAATCACCAGCTATCCTAACAAACCTAAAATTGTTTCTTATCAATACGTGCATTCTGCAAATTGTTTTGATCTCATTGGCCTACTTCATTCAACATCGGTTCAAGTAGTTATGATGAGTTATGATGAACGGCATTTGTTTCAGAAGTCTTCCGAATTCCAATTCCCTTGCAATCCTTCCACATGGTCCCTGTAGAAAATTTGGACCGAATATCTGTTTTTCCGGTTATCATCTCTTCCTGGTAGTCCAATTCCATTCAATCATGAATCAAAGATTTCATATTTCAGGGAGTTGCACTTTGTGTCGGACTCGGGATTTCCAACACAATCATTTTCAGATTTCGAGTGTTACGTAGAGGAAGAATGTCACAGAAAAGGATTATAACTATGATAGCGCTAACATACATTCCTTCGTTAGCAATCATTGTGAGTTTATGAAAAAAAATGAAGAAACAGCTCCAAAAGGATGTGTGATGGAATACAATTGAAAATATTAGAAATTCTGTAAATTGTTTTGAAAAAAATCTTTTGATTTTCAGAAAAGTTTATACAGAAGCAGGGAATGTTGAAAAGTAATTTGAAAAATCGAAAAGCTGGAAAAGTTGAAAAGTTCAAGTCTGGAAGTTTCCTAGTTTTCCTAGAACACCATTTAGGATCAGCTTGCATACCGTAAAAAACCAAAAATCCAGAACTTTCCTGCAAAGTGTACTTGTAAAATGAAGGCCCGAACCGCCAAGGCCCCGAAAGAAAAATTTCAAAGCCCGGTATCAATAATCCTGTATTTTAAAGTCAATTTCGGAGCTCTTACTAGTTGAATTTGATTCCTAGTTCCTTATACCTTCAAACCTGTGACAAAATAGCCCTGTAACTTTTAACTTTGAGCGAATTTAACTCTGTTCCTGTGAGAAATATTAAGAAGTTGTCAACCGATAAATAGTGTATCATAATATCACCAATATTTCATCAGTTGACACATTTTTGATATCTCGTATAGGAGCCGAGATAATCGAGCTCAAACTTGATAGTTTGGGGGCCCTTCTAATACAGGTTTTACGGCATTTTGTTTATTCGCATGTCTGTGAAAATTTTTCTATGATTTTAAAAGTTTTGATTAAAAAAAAGGAATTTACTTGCTATAAAAATCATGTTTATAAAAAGGCTACCGGTCGCCGGGCCCTTCGGGCCTTCAAAAATTCTAAAGCCCGGCGCGGTCCGACTCGGCCTGTTGCAAGTATGCTATGAGATTTTGCTGTAATCAATTTCCATTCTGATTTGTGTCAAACATCTATATTTGTTTCTGAGGGGCAGATTTAGAATAATCTGTGGCGTTTTGAATACCGTGTTTTTTAAGAGAAATCTGATCCTTTTCCAAAAATTCGTTGCCTTTTTCAAATGACTGAAAATGCTTTCAACATTTTTCATTTGATTAAAAATTTTTTGTTAAAAGCCGAAAACCATTTAACACAATTTTAAAGGACAATAAAACAATCCAGTAACTCCAAAAGTAACCGTTTACAGATTCTCCCATTTACATCTCCATGGAATTTCGTTGAAGTCCAGAGAACGACAGCTTTTGAGCATCCAACCTATGATTTGAGTGTTTACGAGCCTTATGTTGGCTTTTCACAAATCACATCATTTCAATTCCTTTCGGCGACTTTTCTGCTGGTAATCGGTGCCTACGCTATTCCAGCAGTTTCAGGATTTCTTACTACAAGAGTTATTCATCTGATCAACAAAAACCGAGGCATGTCTTTGAAGACCAAAGAGCAATCAAAAACACTGGCTTACGTGGGAGACTTCGAGCTAAACTCATAGTGAAAAATATGATAATTTTTCAGGGACTTGCTTGTCAAACTTTTCTGCCGGTGACTTGTTACATTCCGATTCCAACTTGCTACATTTATAGTCAGTCCACTGGAGCAGAAATGCTCATGACAGGTGAACAGAACTTTTGGATTTTTGATTAAGAATTCGGAACATCATTTCTTCGGAAAGAAATACATCAGAAGATTACAGTCAGAAAGTTTTGATGACCATTAATCAAGTTTTCAGACGAAAAAAAAACAAAGTTGAATGACGTACAAAAAAGATTCCGAAATAAGACAAATGTTAGTTATTTTTGGACAACCAAATGATTTCCGAAATACGAAAAAAACGAAAAATTGTTTAGTTTGAGAACAGAAATAATAATAAGTTTGGAAAACAAAAACATTCCGGTGCAATGGGTTAATGTGAACCAGAGAAACAATCAAACAAACATTCAAACAAAAGTTCAGAACTTTTTGTAAAGTTTGAGTTTTGGAGTACATACGAAGCTTTGAATTTTCGGCTCTTTTCTAGTTTAGAGGTCCCAAAAAAATTTAGAGGTCCGAAAAAAAATTAGAGGTCCCAAAATAAAATAGTGGTCCTAAAAAAAATTAAAGGTCCCAAAAAAGTTTAGAGGTCCCAAGAAAAAATAGAGGTCCAGAATACGAAAAACGCGCAGATGTTGGAATATTGAACTAGTATTTGAACTGTGCGAGTAGTTTGAGTTTTAGGGTCTTATAGGATGACATGACTACTCCTAACAATTTTAGCTCCAATTCTCTCGCATCTTGCCGATGAACCCAATTTACATATGAGGAAAATTTGGGCAATACAGTAATCACTCCGTAATTATGCTGTTTCTCAGGCTTAAATAATTGTCAGAAAAAATGCATTCCTAAGCCTATTAGAAGTATAAAATATATCATCAACAATTATTTTGCTATAAGACCTCAAAACTTTAAATTCTTACACAATTCAAATTTTAGTACATTATTCCGGTATCTGTGCATTTTTAAGTTTTGGACCACTATTTTTTCTTGGGACCACTAAACTTTTTTGGGACGTCTAATTTTTTTTGGGACCTCTATTTTATTTTGGGACCTCTAATTTTTTTTCGGACCTCTATTCTTTTTTGGGACCTCTATTCTTTTTTGGGACCTCTAAACTAGAAAAGAGCCGAATTTTCGTAGGTACCCTCAAACTTTCATAATGCTTGGAAATTGCCGAAATTGGATTTAACAAAACTGACATTTTATGAGGATTTCGATTCTAGAATCAAAGTCTGAATAGATGGCCTAGAAATCTCAAAATTTTGATTTTTAAGACAGACGATATTGCGTACGTGCCCCTGATTTCGAAGTGATCTGAATATGATCAATATTTCCCAAAATTCTTTACAAATATAAATTCGTTCTCAGTTTTTGGGTGGGGTGGCCTAGAAATTCCGATAGTTGAGTTTCTAGGCCACTCTCCCAAAACAACTCGGAAATCACTCAAAAAAGCTCATTTGCAAATTTTTTTGATTTTCAGCAATTCCAATATTTGGATTGTTTGTGAATTTTCCGTTTTAAGTCTAATAAACGTTTTTTTTTCTCAGAAAATTAGCTGACTGTAGTTTTGAAAGCACGTTCTAAAAACTTGAGAACTGGCACGCAGCCAAATTTTGCGACAAGAAAGTGAAACAGGGCGCACTTTCTCGGCCTGTATTTCCAATTTTTGTCATGGGCCATGAAAAATTATGATTCTAAGAATGTCTTTCAGAAAAATGGTTCCCAATTCACTCATAACAAACATTTAAACATTTTCAGAGCACCTCCTGGGTATACTAATCTGCTTTCCATCATTCCTGGATCCTTTTATATCTTTTTATTTCATTGTTCCATATCGTCAAGCAATTTTGAATGTCTTCAAATGCCGAAAATCAAAACCGCTGAATTCTGTTGTAAATGTTCGTCAGTTGTCAAAACATAACGCTTCAATAATCGATTCAAACTGAATTTCATTCAATAAAAGAGACTATTAAAAAAAGGAAAATTGCTGCCCACACAATCCCATTGACCCAAAAAAAAACGAGGGAGAAATGGTTGGAGGTTGTCTGAATATCCCGAAGAGAAACAATCAAAAATGGGAACTATGTACAAACAAGTGATGTGTGCATGGGGAGTAAAGAGAAAGGTGTCCAAAATTGGTCTTGAGATCTAGAGTTCTTATTTGAGAGGACATTTTTAATTGGAGATCATCGGGAAAATCAATTTCATTCAGGCTACTTTAGATGGCTGTTGGGGGAAGAACGGACAAAAAAGAAGACACGTGGCTCGAGATATCAAAATTGTTCTTGTAACAAGATAAGCAAGAAGATGAAGTTTTTGAACTGATGACAAAAAAAAAGAAAACGAAATAAAAAACCAAAGTCAACGAAATACATAGTATGAAGAAGGCAGAAAAACATCAAAACTGAGAAGAAAAAAACCCTATTCCTTTTTTAATGCTGTTGAGCAAAGAGCGTCGATTAATGAAGATGAAGAGGTACTAGGCTGTTTTGACCTGAAAAATTTTCAGAATTTAGAATCCAAAGAATTTGAAATCAATAAATTACCTCGCTGAACATAAGGCTTCGAACCTTTGAAATGCAGTTTCTGCATCTTCTGTTTGGTCACCGTAGTCGAAGGGATATATCGTGAAGTCTTCTGAAAATATAAGAATCATTTATTTCCCATATTCAATTTTTGGAAAATTATCAATTTTTGGATAGAGTCATACTTGTTTCCGGGCCGGCTTCGGCACGTCGACAGATTTTTGAAAGCGTTTTGCAGCTAGATTAAGTTTGAAAAAACAGTGATCATTCAATTCGTCAGAAAACGTTTTCAGTGTAAGATGGACTGAAAAAAACAGAGAATTACGTCATCATTCGAAACGTCTCAAAATAAAACATGAGATCATTAAAAGTTATTACTGTAAACAATGCTTTCTGCAAATACAGGTTTTCTCTCTTTATCGGGGAAATTAAATGACCTTAGGTCTAGAATCTGGAATCTTGTCAATGAAAAAAAGTCACAAACAGTCTGTGTCTGTGTTTTAATCTTTGTAATTGGTTGGAAAACAAAAAGAAAAAAGTACAAACCTGATGTTCTTCTGCGATCCCTGATAAGTGCTGCTGGTACAAGTGATATGAGAAGTAAAAGAATCCATATCCGCAGATGTTCTATGCCTATCCTTTGCAAGAGCATCTGTTGAAAACCGACGTCGTGTCGTGGTCGTCGTCGTCGTGGTAGTCGTCGTCGTCGTCTCGCAGTACTCAATTATGGCCGAGGACAAGAAATGTGCAAAGCGCGAAGAAGAAGGATGTCTTAAAACAAAGAAAAACATTGAAGATATGTCGTGTTGCATGATGATGATAATGAATACGAATGAAAACAACAAGTACTCTGAATAAAGAAGAGTTGATAAATGATATGAGATTAGTTAGCTCATGGGTAATAGGGAAGAAGAGTCAGAAGAAGAACACGTCAAGTTAATCCGGATTAGGATGCACCATTCTTCCCAGGAAGAAGTATACAATGGGGAGGGAAGAAAATAGTTTCAAATATTTCGAAAAAAGTTTTTTATGGTAGGCGGTCTAGGCGCTGAGAGCATAGATCTCCACGTCAGAACTGGCCAGCTTTGGGATAGATTAGAACTATGTTTTGAGATATATGAATGGATCAAACGAGACAGTATCCGGGTCATTCAGACGCAGAGACAAACAACAGGTGGGAAAAGAATGGGAATTTATGGGCAAGCTGCTCTTTGATTGGATCGGAACATCTAAGAAATCAAGGATAGGAAAAAAGAAGATGAGAATAAAAAGAAAAAAGTGCGAGCACAAAATATAAAATTCTCTGATTCTGACAAGCCTATTACCGTACATGTGCACACTTTGAATGCGCACTTTAAGCTCAATTACCTCGGTTGCCATGAAAGATGTCAAAAAGATTTCAACAGATATATTATTTATCATGATATCACCAATATTTTATCAGTTTCCCATTTTTTGATACCTTTTACAGGAACCGAGATAATTGAGCTCAAAGTGGACGTTTATAATGGGTGTCTCCTAGAAAATTTACGGTAGAAACCGCATACATGAATGAAAAAAGGTAGAGCTGTTGTCTCTCTAAAGATTATTATCTTTTAGATTTAGGAGGAATGCAACTTTTTTTTAGCTTTTCAGATTCTCTAATTTTTCTGAAAACAAGTAATCAGTCTTCTTGAATGGATCCTCTCACTAGGGAACTATCTGAGCATGTTCCCAAATTACATATCATGACCTATATCATTAAAAAGCTCATAAAATTTCCATTCCAAATATGTTGTCTATTTTTGCAGAACGGCCGTGAGCTTTGAGAAAATTAGGTCAAAAGTTTTAGTACTGAAAAGTAAAAAACATCCGAAAATATGGAGTTTTAGAAGCAATAAACAGAAATGGAACGTTATTCTTTGTGACGAGATTGAAAATAGAAATGAGAAAAGGATATGATAATAGGCACGAAAATAAATGGGAATAAGGGAATATGAAGTATGTATATCTGAAAAAAGAAGGGACACACACACAATGACCGGAATCAAAGGAAGATTATGCTTAAGAGTAGGAGCAAAAACTCCTAAAAAGACGTCATTTGAGAGGTGGAGAATGTCGGTTAATCGAGATGATCCCTGTTAACAACTTGGGATTTTTTGGTAAGTCTCGCCTTTCTAAAAGCTCTCGAAAAGTTGGGGATGAGATAAATTTGGAAGCCACCCTCCGCAGAATATGATAAATGAGAAGAAAATTCATGATTTGGAAGTCACTTTTCCTTTCCTCGATTATTCCCCTCCCTGTATCTTTGAAAGTTCAGTGACGTGTGTGGTCAGAATCTAAAAGACGACGTCGTCTGCGTCTCGATAGCCACGTTTCCGGTTTCCTACTACGTTTCAGTGTTATTCGATAGTCCCTCTAATTCTTATTTTTCGTTTACTTCTGCTTTGTTTTATCAGATGATTGGATACACGCAAGAAGTAGAAGAAGAAGAAGAAACACTCGAGATGAAAAAGAATATGTTTAGGGAGGGGCCGGGCAAAAAACAAGCGAAGATAGGGCGTGGATGGGAATATATTTAGAGAACAGGTCTGATCTATTTGATAGGGGTGAGAGAAAGGAAATTGAAAAAAGTGATGAGAGACTAGAGAGAACACAATGTTAATTTGGGTCTAAAAATGGGGAAAAATGGAGGATACGGTGTTGATTCTATCCTATTTCATATTTTTCTACACCTCCAAATCAGGAGATGATCTTCTTGGTATGCAGGATTTTGAAATAGGACAAAAATATTTGGCTACATTTTTAATTTAAGAAGGATAGGACAGGATACGGGAATAGTTTAGAATGAATGTGCCAAATTGTTTTCTACCGTATACAATCACCATTAATTTCGAACACTGGACTGCAATATCAGTCTTATAGAACCAATAACAATTTCAACTCATAATGCTAATTTTCGAATCTTCTGTGAAAAAATATCTTCAAAAAATGGAATAATATTCTAGACAGTAAATACTGTTCCAGCCAAAAATATATTAAAAACGCATTTTTCGGTTGATTTTGTCCATTCTCAGGAGTCTAGCGCTCGGCTGTCAAGCTTCCGATCACTTTGGAAAATTTTGAAGGTGTAAAACAGACCTAGATTCAAAACTGCATTAACAGAATTTTTTCGAAATTCCTATTTTTCAGCAATTTTCAGATTTCTGAATGACACCTCCTTTTTTCCTGTTTTTGTACTGGAAACGTAAAAAAGGTGTTTTTGGGAAATAGGCAAATAATTGAAAAACTAGGAATTTTCTCAATTGTGTGAATGCATAGTTTTAAATCTAGGTCTGTTTTATAACCTCCAAAATTTTCAATGTGATCACTTGACACCCGAGCTCCAGGCTCTTGGAAATGTTCACCGTGAGTACTGTATCAAATCAAAAATCATTCAAAGAATGAATCAGCGTTCAATCGGACTCCAAGTTCTGGAAAATGGAAATAAGCTAATTGCTTTCGCTATTATAAGAAACTGTTTAGCACTTTCTACTCTTCCCCTCCTCCAAATCTAGAGATGATCTGGAAGGAATGAATGGGGGAAAAGCAAGCTTAAGACTGAATTCCAAAGGTAACGATCAACATAAGAAGGAGGGGAGGAACGTTGTTTTGTGATATCAGAAAAAGATGTTTGGAATCATAACATTTCTAGATGAATGAGAATAGTTTCATTAGGAATAATATGTTGTTCTCTAAAAAGATGTTCCATGATATAAGGAAAACTGTTGTTGTTCCAAAGAATTCTTCTAAATTCAGCAACGGATTCCGATCATCTTTTGGCTAAAAATGATGAAGGTCTGCCACGTTGTTCTATTTTAATACAGAACATCGGTTCTAAAAATTTTCAGTAGGAAGGGGAAGAGGAACTTTTTAGAATGATAAATCAGAAATGACGGCAAGAGACTAGAGTGTTCGGGGCTGTCAGTAGCAAAAAACAAGATGAGTTTTAGTGCAAAAAACTTAGAGTGCGTTCTAATATTGTCCACAACGTCGTCATAGAATATTCTCGAAAACGGGACCCTCTTCTCAATTCCATTCACAGCCCGATTTCATTGGCACCCCACACAAAATAATGACGCAAGTTTTTCAACTAATTCGTGGGAGTTTTTATGAGAAACGGACCATCTTATTGTCCTATTTATCTGTGTTGAATGACGATATGTATGTCACGAAAAATGAAAAAAATGGGGACCTTTCTTCTTCAGCGAGTTGGCCAAAATGAAAAAGCAAAAGGTTAAGAAGAAGAAACGAGAAAAAAACCGAGGGACCGTCTCTAAAAATAGATGTAAAATCTAGTTTTTCTCTCCCAATTTTTATTGGTTTTATGACGACGGCGTTATAATGTCTACACTAGACGAAGAAGAAAGGGATACGGTAGCTGAAAAAAGAAACGAAGAACAATAAAGATGAAAAATCCAGACCAAAGACGGAATTGGGTGAAAAGGGACATATGACCTGATTGGAGAAGTCGAATTGTGACGTGGAACTAATTTATAAATAACAATCCGAAAGATCTACAATAAAACTACGAATACTATTTCGGACGATTGATATGATTGGGAGATCTTTTGAGTTTTCGAGAGGATCCGGGATTACGAAGATCGGGGGATTTCCAACCAAGTCGTTTTAAGCTAATCGGGTTAACCCACTGGTAATGGAAAGTCGTCAGAAACGTTACTGTTTTCGTTGACTAGTATTTCTTTTAGAATAAATTGGATGATTCAAAATAGGGGACTGATCAGGCTTAGAGAATCTAGCAAAAAATAACTAGTTCATCCAAAAATTTTGGAGAGAAAATGTCTGGAAGAAACTGGAAACAGAGATCTATTAATTCAAAAAACTGTGGAAAAAAATAGATAACGTAAAACCTGTATTGGTAGGGCCCCCTCTCAATAGAAGGGCACTAGAAGAGGGGCTCGGAAAAATAGAAAGGCTTATTGGTGAAATTAATGCAATTTCCTCAATTTCGAACGAGAATTCACCGAATTTTTCGATGACACATTTTGGAGAAAACGGGGGGAACAATAGAACGGCTCCCTCTTATTGAAAGGTCCCTGTAATATAAGGGCTTTCCAGAGATACCTTTAAACAATAGAAGGGACTGCCCTTCTAATACAGGTTTTACGGTAATAACACTTTGAGAAAGTTCTAGAAGAGTCTAGAAAGAATACTTGGAAGAGTTGACATTTCCGAAAAAAAAATTTCCAGAAGCATTGTGGGACCGGATGTTATTCAGTTTGAGAAATAAATATAAGAGGAACTTTCGAAATGCCGAGAAAAATTCAGATCAGTCAAGTGGAAACTTTCTAGGGAGACAAACCTGACCCCTGGGAGGCAGTCTCAATTTAAGGACAAAATACGAGAAAAGACGATGAGTTGATCAGCTGAGAGTCGACAGAGCCCCAGTCAATTTCAGATCAATCCAAGTCAAAACAGAACGACAACAAAGAACTTAAAGGCGTGGGTACAAGTATCAGATTAACAACAGGTGTCCAGAAGGACCCGGCGAGGTTTCTTTATTTTTTTTCCGCCAGCTGACTCTTGAACCAGGACACAAAACTGAAACTGAAACCATTGTGACCTATGACTATTTTTAGGTGAAATCTGAATCAGCAAGATCGGAAGCATCTC